ACAGGTCCAGTTATGATATCGATATGGGTTCCACTTTCAGGGTCGGTGATGAGTTGCGACGACCGAAAATGTATCTGGCCCTCTTCAAGGACACCATACGGATCTGTGGTCTTATTAGACGAGCAACAGTAATCGATAAGAACGCTACTTGCCTGGTACGATGTAGGCCTCGAGGGACTCCTTGACTGGAATGTGACAATTTTTTACATAATCGTCCAGAACAACCGTCACCACGCTTTTGAGCTTGTTAAAGAGCGGGTCGAGCTTTAAGGGGTGAAATCCTGCCTGGAGAAGCTCGAGGACGGATTCATATAGGGAGGTTGGTTGGCCGCTATGGGGATTGCGACTTCGGGGATCCGGGGCAGCCGGTGACTGGTCCAATATAACATTACCATCATCATCAATCTCGTCACCCAGCTCCTCGTTGGGCCGGAGTTGGCCAAGGCCGAATGCACGGGCCTGGCCAGCAATGCGCCGCCGCAGTCTACAAATCACAACACGGCCAGCACGCTCAACAGCTCGCCAAACTAGGATCATTGAATCGGAGCCGTCCCATTCAGTGAGCTGGCGCACTTCATTGTTCAGTCCATTAGCCATGAGTTCCTTCAAAATACCAGTGGGAACGTCATTCTGAGCTAAATTTACCAGAGTGTCTTTGGATAAGCGGCTCGGACCAGTTACACGAGACGGCGCAACAAGATCGAAAATTCTGTGGGCATCGTCAATCTTGTGCAGCGGTCCACAATTGATTTTGTGTTGCGAGTTACGTATCCAAATCTTTGGTGGTCCATCGGCGACTTGATACTCAGGATCTGGGTGCAGAACCCACATCCCCTTGGCACCAGCAATACGTCCCTGCACGGCTGTCGGTCGACTTGGATATTGGATTACTCGCATGATGGCAGTCAATGCCGCACCGCTGATGAGCCCGCACCCATCAGTCATGATTTTTTCAGCTAGATGCTCTCCCTCGGCGCAGTTCGCAGCATCTGCAACATCTAAGTCAATGCACCATAGTTTGCAAGGAAGAGAAAATGTTACACTGATCATCAATGAAGAATATATTCTCAGAAGCAAATTTGATTGTTGGTACCGAAGTTGATAGGCCGAGCGCCCATCGGGTAGACCATTTGCTGATGGGCTAGTTGAAGTGCGCGTCAGAGCTGTATCACGCGGACTCAGACGAAAAGGTATTCACCTGTTTTGAATTCAATCTTAATGGATTATGCCACTGTACAAATTCATGGAGTGTTAGCCGGTGAGCGTCGCCATCGTCAGGGTGAGTCTGCCGATCTATGTTTTCGTTGGTTTCGAAAAGGTAAACATTCCCTTCCTTCGCATGAAATGGTACGAAAACGCGGCCACACAGCACAAATTTGCTGGACTGGAGAAACTTGGGAACTTCTGTGTCATATATCAGGTTGTCTGGAACACGGATTTGGAGGATGCGTCGAGACCCCAAAAACCGAGCAAATCGATGCGACCGCCGAATCTCGGGTTTTTCGAGCTCGAGTTTAAACGAACTTCCCGCTCTCACAATACGGGCAGCTTGCTGGATCTTGCCTCCGTACCAATTTTCTTTTCCCTCCCAGTCGCCCATAGTTCCCAGGCCGCGGCCTTTATTTTCAACAATCGCAAGCTGCTCTCGATCGTACTCAAGCCTTTCGATCATATTTAGCTTTGGATTCATGATATGATTGAACTTTATACCAAACTTCTGATGGTGCTCTCATCGCAGATGACGGCCCCATCTCGTCTTTGATGACGGCAGCCACTTTCCATGCAGCTTGCGCATTTGAACCCTTGAGTTGGCGCAGACGATGTTCCGTCATATCTTCGAACGTCCACATGCCACGAGTGACACCTCGTGCCAGTTCATAAATTGTTCCCCACGCAAGTTGTTGCTGATCGAGGGTTATTTGAGCTCTCTTGCAATGGGCGATGTGTACAATATTCAACTGAACGCCAAACTCAGGAAGACGATGGTTTGTTCTTGTCCCTACTTGTGGCACATTCACCTGCAGGGCTGTAGTAAGCGTACGTTGGACGAAAGGGCTGTGAAAACCTACAGCTGGCGCAGTCTTCTGCGATGACATCGATTCGAGTCTGGTTGTGTGACTGCGCGAAGAACAAAGAGGAGTGCTGTGTTGACGATGGTAAGTCGCTGCCACTGATCACATGGATGAACTAGGGTTTGACCCGTTCTAATGGCGAAGCAGAAGTTAAACCCTGCCAAGTCGAGGTAAGTTTGGAAGCATTATCAATGCATTGATTTGCGAAGTCACAGCTGATAAGCGGACTTCATGTTCCATTTCAATTGCATGGTGAATGTTCTGTACGCTAGGCAGCGCTAGGCCCTGCTACAACATACTTCAACAATATCGATGATGTTCCTTCCGCGTCAAAGGATAATATTAAGAAAATGGGTACTTCAAGTTGGTCTGACTGAGCTGGTTACAGTACTAGGTTGATTTGGGTGAACGAAGCGGTTTTCCGTGGTCAGACCACAAACTTGAAGGTCCTAGTACTACAAGGTTGGTATTGAAAGAAACGAGCAAAGAAACGAGTCAGGCTAACGAGCTCATGACCAAATATAGCAATTGATAATCAGTGAGGTCGGTCTTTAAGTCGGGGCCATCTTGATTCAGACTTTAATCCGATCAGAATTTTGCCGTCATGGTGAGTCAAAAGCAAGAGTGAAACGCTAACTGTTGATGGTGTGCAATGACAGCCACCAAGACAAAAGAACCAAAATCCATCGGGACTTGGTCGAGCTATCATCAATAAGAAGTTCAAGGATGCCAAAGAAAGACAAGAGTCTGGTCTTGTACGTGGTATTTTGTCTTCTGCATGCGTTTACTCATGTTCTCAGTATACAACCGAAGTTGATTCTACAACCCGTCTTAAATCTGTTACGCAGGAGAGAGATCTAGATGAATTTCTGAACACGGCACAATTGGCGGGCACGGAGTTTACGGCGGGTGCGTCAATATGATTTCCTTTTTGTTTGTAGCCTCATGCGGAAAGTTAGAACGACGAAATGTGAAGATTATCCAGTCCCCTGTAGGATCAACACACAATCCCCATCTTCTCACTGATCAGGAGGAGGAGTCGACTTTGAAGAAGCACCAGCTGAATAAGGAGAGACTCAGAGTGCCCCGAAGACCTCCATGGACGAAAGCAATCACAACATCACAATTAGACCGACAGGAGAAAGATGCCTTCCTCGAATGGCGAAGAGGGCTTGCTCAGTATGTGGGAAAACCCATGATCTTCTGTGGCCACTGACCGATACCGATAAAGACTTCAGGAGGAAGACAAATTTCTGTTAACGCCATTCGAGCGCAATATCGAAGTCTGGAGGCAATTATGGCGTGTCTTAGAGCGATCACATTTAGTCGTGCAAATCGTTGATGCTCGCAATCCGCTAAGATTTAGATGCGAGGATCTTGAGTCGTATGTCAAAGACGTGGAAGGTGCAGAAGGCGAGGCAGGTACAGGAAGAGATAAGCGCAAGACTCTGCTGTTAATCAATAAGGCCGATCTACTCACTGCGACACAAAGGTGAGCGTGGTCCCACTTCTATCGAATGTCTATCTTTATTCGAACCTTCACCTCAAGGCGAATATGGGCAGATTATTTCGATGGTCAAGGCATACAATACGCATTTTTCTCCGCTGCGAATGCTGCTGCATTGCAGCAAGCCCGCCGGGATGCTATTGCCCAGGCCGAAGAGGAACAACTCCATGAGGATAATCAAGACGAAACTTCACTGTCCGATTCAGATGGTCCGGATACACCCAGCGACGATGTCAGTGATGATGACTTCGCAAAAGAGTCGGTGCAGGAATCATCACCTCACTCCGACAGCGACACGGACGACGAACATCAGTACGTTCACACAGAGGAAGATAATCCTGACGGGAAAGATCCTCGTACCAAAGTTCTCTCAGTGTTGGAGCTCGAAGACCTGTTCGCCACAGCTGCTCCAGATCTATCAAGTGAAGCTCCATTTAAAAAAAAATCCAAATAAAGGCTTACAGCTCACCAATTGGCAGTGTTTACTGGCCCGTCTGGGGAACCTCCAACAAAACTGGTGGTTGGGCTCGTTGGTTATCCCAATGTTGGTAAATCTAGCACAATCAACGCCCTTCTCGGAGAAAAAAAGGTCTCCGTCTCTTCGACCCCTGGAAAGACAAAACACTTTCAAACTATTCATCTCTCCCCAGCGATAGTACTTTGTGACTGTCCTGGATTGGTATTCCCTCAATTTGCGACTACCAAGGCTGCACTGGTTTGTGACGGTGTGTTACCAATTGACCAAATGAGGGAGTATTCTGGTCCGGTAGCTCTGGTAGCCAAGCGAATACCAAAGGAGGTGCTTGAAGCGACTTACGGTTTGACTGTTAAATTCAAAGGTGTAGAAGAGGGGGGTGACGGGAAGATCACTGCTGAGGACTTCTTGATCGCTTATGCGAGTGGGTACTCTTCATTTGGTTTAAACAACTATTTTTTATCAGTCAACAGTTGCTCGAGGGTTCATGCGGTCCGGCCAAGGTAATCCAGATGAGGCACGAGCAGCACGTTATGTCCTAAAGGACTATGTCAATGGGAAACTGCTTTTCTGCCACCCACCGCCGGGCACACCTGAGGAATCTTTCAACCAAAGAACCCACGAACTGTCGCTTCTGCGAGTGACAGGAAAGAAACGTGCACCCGTCACAAGAGTTGGAAAAGGCGCGGATACATTCGTGCCGGCTAATCCGTCTCCCATGCTTGTTGCTCAAGGGCAGGGGCTGAAATCTCAAGCTCTTGACCAAGACTTCTTCGCTCATAATTCGAATCTATCAGCACGGCCATTTTTACAAGGTACCTCTCGTAACGGGCAAGAGTTTTCGAGGGGAAGAATATATCCTCATCAAAATATGGTGGCTGACGATGGTACTCCATTGGGACATGGGAGCGCGAATCAGGCCGCTATGTTGGCGAGTGCTAGTAAGGTTGGGAAGAAGCATAACAAAAAGAACAAGCGAGTGAAGCAGAGGAGCGGCAAGGGATATGATTGATGCCTAACGCGCTGGTGGAACACAATTATTTATTGAGGACTGTTGAGAGTGGTCGGGTCAAATTCCAAAAGTAGCAATGACCCCTCTGCTATTCGATAAATGCCTCGAGCCGCATCTACGTCGTTTCTTGTTTTTTCTCTAAATCTACCAAGCATGGAAACACAGACACGCTCGCTAGGACCGACTCAGCCTGTACCCTCATTTGTCTCTTCAAAGTCAGCACGTTCACAGACCTTGTCAAGATCGGATGTATGCGCCAAATTCATTACGACTACCGCGGATGGACGCACGGAAGGTATGAATTTATCTTGTTCCTTTAAGCGGCAGGGATCATTAACAACGATCTGCTACGTAGGAATAACTTTGAGTATCGGGAAGCCAATAACCATTGGAAGGAACCCTTCTCTTTGGTCGCTCAACGCATCTTCTAACCTAAGCTATCTTGTTTACTCACTTGCTCATATGCAGCTCGTACGTGATACCAGATATCGTGGTGTCCAGCGTACATTGCAAGATACACGCGTCAGCTCATGTGTCATGTTTCGCTGGTTCATACATCTCCTGACACACGTTGAACAGGGTCCAGTCTAGCACCGGAGGAATCATTGTATCATGCCAGGTAGTTACTTGCGCCGTGCTACCTTACTTGCTTAACTTGACTGCTGTGAAGGACTTGTCGACAAATGGACTCATTTTGAATGGGCACAAAATCCGCAAAACATCTGTCATTGTCATGAATGGCGATACATTCAGAATACCAGCCTCGCAGAGTATGTATCAATCATATGCCGCTCTCAATTTATGCCTTGCTGACCTTTTACCAGCCTTTCAGTGCATACTTAAATGGAGGCACGTTAATGAAAAACACGAAAAACACGCGTCACAGCCTTCTCAATCACAAACGCAGTCATACAAAGTTGCTACCGTTCACCGAAGCAACATATTGATTTTAAAGAGTTTCATGCAGGACCTCGGACGATTCCTAATCACATCTCACTGCCTTGGGAGTGGGAGTTATGCCACCGTACAGCTTGCGCTTGATACCACAGGTCACCAACAAGCCGCCTGCAAGATTATTAGGCGCAAGGAAGGTAATGACCTTAGAAAAGAAATGAAGGAGGCAACATTGCTCATGAACCTGCATCACGTTCGTGCATAATTTCATCTTTTTGTCTTGAAATGTCACGATATCGATTCAAACAGCCTAACATTAACAGGGTATATGCTGTCGATTTGGATCCGGAATTCCTGTAGGTCGCTTGCTTTTTTGGTTCACCACTGAAGCGACAAATTGTGAGCACCAGATACATCATTCTTGAACTCTGTACTGGCGGCGACCTTTTCACGTACATCACAACGCACTCCAAGCATCGATTATGCGAAGGAGAGGCAAAGTACATCATGTATCAACTTCTCAAGGGCTTGAAATACCTGCACGACCGTATGATCTCACACAGAGGTAAGGTTTTATACCTCTCCCACGAGGTCCAAGCTGAGCTTAAGGCAGATCTCAAGGTGAGTCCCTGTGTGTGTTTCAAAATTTTGACTCTATTCTGTCGTCAACAGCCAGAAAACATTCTGCTTTTTTCACCCGGACCTTATCCACGTATCCAGATTGCCGACTTCGGTCTTGCACGTCCAAAAGCTTATCAAGAAACTTTGCATGTTTGTGGCACCATATCTTATCTCCCGCCAGAAGGTATCCTGGCGCTCGAGCACAAACATCTTGGCTACGTTGGCATGCCAGCTGACTGCTGGAGCGCAGGCGTGACGCTTTTTGCTATGTTGACGTGCGTGTTCTGCTATATTTGTTGTCACAGAAATCGCATTCAGAGTTAATACTCGGATTGCTGAAGCGGAAGTCACCCATTCGACTTTGTCGGTTCTACTCATTCTCGCATCTCTCTTGAAGACGTCGTGGACTCTCAAGGCTTCGTCCAATCCCAGCATGCGACGGCTCAAGATGAAAGAACAAAACAACGTATTCTTGATGGGCAGATTTGCTTCCATGAACCGATCTGGGGTCCGCTTCATGACGGTGCGTGCCCAAGGTTAACTGGTTTTAGTCCTCCGCAACCCATATTTTTCGAATAAATGATCAATCCCCTGACTATTTGCGGGTGTGTAGCCAAGATCCTCGTCTCGCACCTTCTTGTCTCAGACCCGCAGGACCGTGCAACTGTGTACTCTGCACTCAAGAGTTGGTGGATCTGCATGGACCTCGAAGAGTTGGATCAAGCGTACCGAGAGCGGATCAGAGCGCACTTCACGTAATTCAGTCTGCAATACTCTGTTTTTATTGCTCTTGTTTGTGCGTTTTTGTGACACTAGATTTGTACAGCGCTTTCAAGTTCGTGGTATCTGATTGCAATGGTTCACATCCGATTCTATCCAAAATTGAGAAAAATGTATCTGTCATCAGTGTGGTAGTGAAAACAATGCTATTCGTTCCATGTAATAATGTCTCTATCCTCTTCTGAGTTGTGGTCACGTTTACGATGTAGCATGACACGTTCGCGTGAAGGAAACAGTCTGTTGCAATCTACGGACGCTAGTGAACGGACAGATAGTAGACGATATAACGCGTACCTTGGAACGCACAAATGTATATCGGTGTCCTACAGTATAGTGGGTGAATCATAACACGCTAGTGCGATATAGGCTTACTCTTGAGGAGAGGTGACGCGAGCAAGACCAGCTGTTAGCTGATCATGAGTAGTGGTTGCTGTTAGAAAGGTCACTCAGCTCGCATAGTATCATAAATATGTCCTGGCTTACTGTCATGGGTCGCAGGCTTCGACTTGAGGACGGATGGCAGCGATGGACCATGCATTACAGGATGAAGAAATGTAGCACAGCCACTTCTAATTACCAAAAGTTGACCCCCAATAGAAGTTGGACTCGGAGCACTTACTCTCGGCGGGGAATGTATGACTTATCTTCGTCGCCGTCGACCACAGTGAGCTCCACTCTCAAGACGCTAACTTCCCGCTCCGAATATCTAGTAAACAGTCGAAACGACGAGGAAATACCCGGAAGTTGGTCTGGGATGTGGGGTTCCCGGTCAGCGTCCACTGCGGCCATCAATGGCAGGGCTGCACGTGGAGTTCACGGCAGGTCGCTCAGCGCTTCTCCAGCGTCTGCCTCTTCTTCATGGGCACTTCAGCACTCGCTGTCTATGTCTACTACTACTAATCAGAAGCCACCTGTTATGTGGTGGCCATTATCATCGTCTGCCAGAGACGTGGCGCTATCCAGCTCAACGTCCCGGTCGACCCCAGATGGCTCACCATCATCATCGCGTCCACCATCTCCTGGGCTGTCATTACTGAACGAGGCATTGAGTGACAGCATTCTTCCGACAGTGCCCCCACGCGCACGACTGCCTCCATCCTTTTCGCCTGCTCGTCTGCTCAGTCGACCACCTCCATTACTCAGTAATCTGCTATCAACTCTCCCGTCAGCATCTGTGGCTCCCATTCCTCCACATATTCAAAATGGGCTCCCTTTATCTTCTGCAGATCCTGCAGCCCACATTGATGAGCCATGTATATCGTTAAACCACTCCCTACCCACTCATTCGTCCATTGATACACTGCGTTCGATCCATGCATCTACCGCACCACAGATTGCGCCTCCTCCTATTCTGACCAAATGGTGGTTCCAAAGTGATTCAGACTCGGGGATCAAGGACAACGTGGGCAAGCTCCTAAATGAGGAGGATCAGGCCTCGTCGTTGAATACAATACATCAGAAGTGTATGTCTGTAGTCTACTCCTCGAACATTGCTAACCACTTGCATGTAGATCGTTCACCAAAAGCTCCCGTTGTGTTCTGCCATGGGCTTCTTGGTTTTGACACCGTAACTGTTGGACCTTCACTTGCACCCTTACAGGTTGCACATTGGCGTGGTATCAAGGAAGCATTGGAGGCAAATGGGTGCGAAGTTCTTATCACGCGAGTACCTGCAACTAGTTCTCCTGTAGAGCGCGCAAAAGTTCTCGAGAAAAAGATTTCAGAAGTTTATCCTGGCCGAGCTGTCCATCTCATAGGACACAGCATGGTAAGGTGAGCACCGAGGCAGACGATCACCCTTACTGACACATTGCAGGGTGGCCTTGATTGCCGTTACCTCGCAACGCATCTCACCCAACGCAAATTTTCCGTGATAAGCATCACTACAATTGCCACTCCACATCGTGGCTCCTCCTTCGCGGACCACTTCATGTCACTCGCTTCGCAGCATCTTCCATCCGTCCTCGCCCTGCTTGAGCTCTTACCAAACGGTGGCGGCGATGGAAAGGCATTTGAATGTCTTACTCTAGAGAGCATGCGCCGGTTCAACGAGGAGACACCTGACGTCGAGGGCGTGCGCTATTTTAGCTGGGGTGCATGCTATGAACCAGGTCTTATTGATACATGGAAATGGCCGCACAGTATCATCTTGGAGAAGGAGGGTCCGAACGACGGGCTGGTTAGCGTCGAGTCAGCCAAGTGGGTGAGTACGCATGATGACTCCTTGGTGTGTGCGCCTTGCTGAATACGCATGCAGGGCACATATCTCGGTACTCTTTCTCCCGTGAACCACCTCGACCTTGTTGGATGGACGAACGCTGCGCGATATACGTGGGCCTCGATTTGGGGGAGAGAGATTTTATTCAAACCTGCTTCATTCTACCTTGGTATCGCAGACTTGCTGGCTGGAGTGGAGGAGGGCGAGGGCGACAATTGTGATACACTAGAGGATGACATGGTTGTTGAAAGTCACCGGGAGAAAATTCAACAAAACCTCTTGAATAGTAATCCATCTCCCAGGTCAACGCCAAGCCCGCTGCTGAGAATGCACCCTGTACTTGGAGAGATGATATCAAAAGCGCAAGAAGAATCAATGTCCCTACCTCAACGTACTTTCAAACCGGCAGAAGGATCGAAATCTCCGACATCCCCAGAAGCACCCACATCAACGAAGCAGAGATCTCTGCCCCCTACGCCTCCTCATGAGGAGACCCCTCCTACACCACCTACAAAATCGCCAACACCGCCTGCACATACGGGAGAACGAGACTAGACCACCTTTCACGCATCACGCCATACCCGTAAATGCATCTGCCGCATTATTAGTCGTATTATATTCTAATTGCCTACTACTGAGATTTAGCATTGATTAGTGTATCTCACGGAATAAAACACATTTTATCCGATGTGAGTTGGAGTAGGCCAAATTAATACCATGACCGGGGAGTGGACCGGAGAAGTGATCATGAGACTTGCAAGTGCCCGAGCCATCTCACCCAACAAGCGTGTATGATTCTTGTCCGTTTCGTCAGCTTGCGCATTCAATAGTTTAGATCTTCCTATCGTGAATCACAACATTGACGTAGAGCCCGCTGGCATGTCGCTCGAAAAACTTTCATCGAACAAGCATTATGAGGGGACGCTCACAAAGTACAAGTTTAGGGTACGTCGTTTGGCAGAGGCGACAACGCCACGCCGCTGATAATGAGGATAATAGTCTGCTGCTCTGGGCGATACCTATACCCAATTCAATCTCTTCCTCCCCGCCAACGCGGCTCAGGGGAAGGTCCCTGTACTTGTCTATCTTGCAGGACTGACCTGCACGGAGGATAATGGGTGTGTTAAACGCCTTTCCGTCGACCCCGCAAACTCACATGACAAAACGCAGGGCCCAAAAAGGCGGTTTCATGCGCGATGCAGCAGCTCAGGGCATCGCACTGCTTTTCCCTGACACCTCCCCGCGTGGTGCAGGCATCGACGGTGAAGATTCAGATTGGGATTTTGGCAGCGGTTGGTAATCGCTATCTTGGTGCTCATCCTTACCTGATAGCGGACGCGGTGGATAGGTGCTGGGTTTTACCTGAACGCAACGAATCCCAAGTGGTCGAAGCATTATAATATGCTCAGCCATGTTACTCAAGAGCTCCCTCAGGTGCTTGAAAAAGCGGGCTTGCCTCTCGTCTGTCTCGGCATCTCTTATCTTCTCCCTTTCTTTCCCTGACGACAACATTCACAGGACTTCACACGCCAGTCAATCTTTGGACACTCGATGGGCGGACACGGGGCGCTGACTGTGTACCTTGCGTCACTGCTATCTGGGATGAAGCAATATCGTAGTGCATCTGCATTCTCACCCATCTGCGAGCCATCCGAGGTGCCATGGGGCACGAAGGCATTCTCTGGGTACCTTGCGGGCGGTATTGCGGAGGGAAAAGACCGATATGATGCAACAGCGATGATCGGGAAGGTGAAGGGAGCGGTAAATATACTCGTGGATTATGTGCGTCATGCTTTTGTCTATTCGTTGGCCCTTATTAGATGGGACTGATGTAGTAACAGGGTACTGCGGATAATTTCCTATACCAACTGCACCCGGACAAGTTCCTCGAGGCTGCGCGTGTGGCTGGGCATGATGAGGTACAGGTACGAGTAAGGAAACAGGAAGGGTACGATCATAGCTACTACTTCGTGGGTGTCTCTGCTTTTGATGATGGGGTGATGTACTAACAACGGAATCATGATGTACAGATATCGACATTTGCATCGGACCATATTCACTGTGAGTTTTTTTTTTGGCTTCTAGACTGTCAGTACTGATGCGGTGAGTCGTTAGTCCACGCTAACTTCCTGAAAGCGTAGAATGAATAAAGTAAGAAGCTGACCTTCTGTACGAATGGAGATATGATAGCTGGGCGTTAGTCTTGAACTCCTACTTATTATGCAGTGAGAATTGACCTATCTGCCAAAGCTTACGGCCGAGTGTGGGGAAAAAGTGAGACGAGTTTTCCGTTGAATTCCCAAAGGAAATGTTAATTTGAGAGCAGACAGCGATGTTCGTTGCGAGGGAGACCGGATGATATTCATGATGTTCAGATTTTAGTGTTAGCTAGGTTAGAGAATCGGAGTACTTGGATTAAAAGCAAATAGTTGTAAACCTAATACAGAATAGCACTGCTTATACCATCAGACAAGCCTGTTCTCTACAACGACAACAAATTGTCATAGCCCCCGTCCTTTTCACATACTCACTCTTAATTCCTCAAACAAAAATTATTAGCCAACCATACCGTCCCTCTTAGTAAACAGAGCACGAAGAATGTCATTCTTCTCAAGGAAGAAGCAGCCTAGCGCAAGTCAGCTCGCTGCTTCATCCGTAACAGTAGCTCAGACTCCAAGCCAAGCTCTCGCGCAGCTGGCTGCAAAGGACAACGCTGCTCAACTTCAACCCTCGCGTGACAACGATTCGTGAGTCTTTCATATTCAACTTTTCTTCTCCAACAGCCGTTCATCGTTTTCTTCATCCCAACTCCAGTTCCAACACCACAAATGGCCCTGTACCAGCCCTCGCTCAACGTCAACAAGCTCGCGGACCCAGCCCCCAGTCACAGCAGCAGCCACCCCAGTCACAACCACCACCACCTCAAACCTCCCAGTTACCTCAACAACGGCCAGCTTATCCCTGGTCTGCACGGCGCTTACTCCTCCCACCCCCACTCGTAATTTCGAAGCCTGGCGTGCCCGCACCAAATTCACCTTCACCTTCACCATTCCCTCGCTACGGTCATGCACTTCCGGCGACAGCCACTGCTTCGGGAGAGTTGTATCTTTTTGGTGGTCTGGTTCGCGAAACCGCCCGAAATGATTTATACCTTTTCTCTACTCGCGATCTTTCCGCGACTCTCGTGCAGACAGCCGGAGAAATACCCTCGCCGCGAGTTGGTCATGCTAGTGCAATCGTTAGCAGCGTTCTCATTATATGGGGAGGCGATACAAAAACAGACCCCACGTCTGATCAGTCGGAAAAACAAGATGATGGCTTGTATCTTCTCAATCTCGGTGCGTTCATACTAGTTTTTTTCTCAAGACCCCATCCTTCATGTACACCCCAGTTTCACGAGAGTGGACCCGGGTAGCTATGCACGGTCCTGCACCTGCTGGACGGTATGGTCATGCCGTTACTATGGTCGGTACCAAATTTTTTGTTTTCGGGGGTCAGGTAGATGGCGAGTTCCTGAATGACCTCTGGTCATTTGATCTCAATACTCGTAAGTCCTGTCCATTTAAGCTTATTTTTCTAAACCTTATGTTATGTTATGCCCCGAGTACGGACAACAACAACTTGGGAGCCGTGTCAACCCGTCGGAACCGCCCGTCCTGCCCAACGTACAGGACATGCCTGTGTAACATACCAGGATCGCATCATCGTGTATGTTCGTCATTCATCCGATACTAATTTGTATTCACGTTTCACAGGTTCGGAGGAACAGATGGCCAATACCATTACAATGATACATGGTCTTATGATACTAATACCAGGACTTGGTCAGAACTGCAATGCATTGGATTTATTCCCTCACCCCGGGAAGGCCACGCAGCTGCTGTAGTCGACGACGTCATCTATATATTTGGCGGTCGGGGTATAGACGGCAAGGACCTTGGGGATTTAGCGGCATTCAAGATGTCAAGTACGTGGTTTGACGAATGATAGGCGTCCCTGTTCTAAGCTTATCACGTACAGACCAACGGTGGTATATGTTCCAAAATATGGGTCCAGCGCCTAGCGGCCGTTCAGGTCATGCTATGGCGTCCATGGGAACTAGAGTTTTTGTTCTTGGCGGGGAATCTTTCACGCCAACCAAGGGTGATGACCATGGAATTATTAATGTTCTTGACACCAGTACGTAATGCGCTCAACTTTACAAATGTCACCGCTGACATATTACTCAGAGCACATCAAATACCCTGATTCAAGCAAAGGACTACCGGCCAACAAGTCTGATCGAAAATCATCTGCAACACCTACCCCTCCGCCAGGACCACCTGCACAAGGAAGCAATGTGCCTAATGGTACCCGTGCCATGTCCCCGACAGGTACTCCTCAAGACGTAGACGACCTCCGCCGGGCTATATCCCCGCCAGGAATCCGGCCTGGAACTCGTACACCGAATGGTGCCCCTGTGCAGTCATCTCCTAATACCAAAGGTAAAGCACCGACACGCCCTCGAAGAGATGATGGGGACGTGTTGGGAACGGATGATGGGAACGGGACGGACACCGGTGCTACCATCGAGTCTATCACTACATCCCGAGATCACGCACCATCTCCAGACCAGACCCGAGCACGAAGTCCCAACTCCTTCAGTGTCACCCGTGCGATGTCCCCCACATCTCAGAGCGGATCCGATCTCTATGGCAACGTACAGCCACCCAATGTGGCGAGTATAGCGATGAGCGGTCTGGCTGCCCGAAGTCCATCACCCGTTGTGGATCGTAGCAGGCCTCCACTTGATGCCTTTTATCAGCCATCAGGTGGTTCTCCTGGTGCGAATGGAAACGGAAATGGGCATGCCCAGGGGAAATTCGGTTCAACGGGCAATGTGACTGCTGACCTGATTCGGGATTACAAGGTCAAAGAGATGGAAGTTGAGACGTTGCGGAGGCGAGAGGCTTGGATGAAGACAGCGCTTTTGAAGGCCTCCCGGTCGGGCTTTGTTCAACTTGACGAAGAAACATTGGAAGCTGAGGATATTGACTTCCAAGATGATGCCAGTGAGGAACAAAGGAAACTTGCTGACATGGTCATGAATTTCAGGCACTTCAAAACCCAGGTGCAGGTGTGTTTTTTTCTTTTCAACAAAAATGAGACGTTCTAACGAAGATGCAGACTACCCTGGTCAATCAAGCCCGCCAGGCTTCAGAGCGCATTGCGGATGCTGAGCGCATGAAGTCTGCTGCGATCCAGGAAGCTGCATACTACCGCGCAAAGCTCACGGCCCATGAAGCATCTATGCCTGGCGAGGTCTCGCAAATAGAGCGAGAACGTATTGCTGAGCTCGAACGCCATCTTGCCACTCTATTAGTGGAACAGACTGCACAGAAGAAGACAGCAGACGAACTGAGTGACTCGCTGGCCTTGCAGACTACACTTCTTGAGCAGGCGGAGGCACGGTCCTCTGATGCCAACAACCGTGCTGATGCTCTGGAGGAGACACACCATCGTGTTGTTCGTGAACACTCAGAAATTCGCGACCGTTACGTAGAAGTCGAGGCCGCTCTTCGAGACCATGCCGATCGACTTCTTGGCCAGACTTCTCTGCTCGAACAAAAAGATGCTGAAACAGCTCAGGTTAAGAGACAGGTTGAGGAGTTGAGCCAACTCCGTGATCAGCATATCCGCGCTCTCGATCAAGCCCGTACGGCGCTACAAGCCGTATCGTCCCGCTCTGAAGAGGATCAACGTGCTCGTGATCAGATCACTCAACTTGAGGCAGACATTGCAGAGCTACGCGGTGACCTAGAGACTCGTACATCCGAAGTGGAACAAGCGAGGATCAGACTTGCAGAAGTTGAGAATGCGTGGGCGAAGTCTCGTGAAGAAGCTGATGCATTCCGTGCACTCACCACCGGCAGTCTTGGTGAACTTCTCGATTCACATCGTGACCTTAGGGCAGACGAAGACCGGTTAACGAGAGGACATGCAGAGAAGGTGGAGACTATGGAGGTGGAAGCTGCTTCTCTACGGAAGATGCTGAAGGAGGTCACCCAGCAGCTGGAGGAAGTGCAAAAGGATCTTTCAGAGGAGCGTCGCAGGGTACGACAAACGGAATCTGAGCAAACATTCCTACGATCGCAAATTGTGGGCCTCCGGGCGCAATTATCCAGCTCTGTCCTGGAGCAGGGTCGTCTGCGCAAAGATCTTGCGGAAAAGGATAACGATTTGCGGGCAGCGTTGAAGGAAACGGCCGATACCAATATCCGCCTGGTAATGCTTCGGAACTATCTTTCAGAAAATGGCATTATCCCAGATTCGGATGAACCTTCCTCAAATTTGGCAACTGCTCCGCGATTGGCAGACCTGGAGAAACAGCTAGAAGAACGCTCCTTGATGTACGAACGCTCAGAGCGGGAACTCAACGCAGCTCTTCGAAGGAAGCGCGAGCTCGAGGTGCAGTTGAGTGCAATGTCACAACAACAAGATCGATCGAGGTCCATGCAGAGCCCTGTGAACCAAGGTGACTCAGATGCTGACGCACGCGCTCTTGAAGCTGAACGGAAACTCGAGGAGACGGAACGGGGCTATAAGGCGCGAATGCGCCAGATGGAAGAGGACTATCAACTTGCTGTGCATTATGTAAAGTGAGCTCTTCACAAGTATTTATGCATGTCCTGGGTCTAATTGTCCATCGCAGAGGAACTGAAAAAATGATGCGAAGGATGAAAGACGAAGTTACGAGGACGAAGACTGCCTATGCTAGTCTGCAAGCGGAATTGGACACTGTTCGAGGACGATCCAGCACTGAACCGCGACGTGGTGTCAACGGTCGCAGCACTCCTTCGGACGACACTCACGAGCACCTTCGCGGCCAGTTAATTGATGCACAGAAGCAAAGTCAGCGTTTAATCAATGACAACAAAGATCTCCGTCAAAGAATGGAGACACTGGAGAAGGATCTTGACATCATGAAGGATAACTTCGTCATCTCTCAACGAGAGTTTGACGAGCGCCAGACTCGTGTGGAGGAGCTAGAGTTGGAGATTGAAAGAATGAACGCTACTCTCGCTGTATATCGGGAAGGAAGTGGCGCCAGTTTACTTGAAAAGCTCACCGTCGAAAACACCAACCTCAAAAGGGAAAACGAACAGCTTTCGCACAAAATTCACCTTGTCTTGGAAGTCGATCAACCTCTCAAACGACCATCCAGCATGACGAGCTCAGAGAATTTCGAGCACCTGTCGAATGAACTAGACGATTGGCAGCGACAGATGGCTAGCTCGTTTGGTGCCCGGCGACCGCTTAGCGACTTCGAATCCCCCTCTCACTTAGTAGGACATGAGCGAACCCGGTCGCGATCGTAACATTTGTTGTCATATTTTTTTTTTGCTTTGCACATATAGTTATACCCTTATTGCCTTGATTGCTGACCGCCGCTCATGCTCACACTCGTTCCGCTTCGTTTCGTATTTCTACGTTACTCCGTTGCTTCCTCGTTGTTCAACATCGATTATTCTTCATATATATTGTGACATGCATCAATATTTGCGACATCTTGAGTTTGACTCATTGTGAATTGGATGCAGCTTTTTGTGTCCACTCGACTGCCTTCTGTTTGACAGCCAATGCACCTTCCTCGTCCCCAATCCTCCGCTCTAGTTCAAGCCATTTCTTAAAAAATGACCTTTATGCGACATTAGCTCATGTAATTCTGCCAAGTAGTGGAACACGTACTTCGCCTTACGACTAGTCATCTTAATGGCAAATATACGATTGAAGATGTTTCTGCGTGCTGTTATAATAGTGAGGCCACTTTGGGAGGCAGAGCGCTTACCTTAACGATTGGATATCACCTTGCCCTGCCTCCATATCCATATAAACCGACCACAGGTCCCAGCGCTTCGGATGAGAATCTACGATCCCTTCGAATATAGTCTTGCCTCGTTCCGCATCGCCGAGTTTGTATTCGAGCTGAGCGAATTTTGATATCGTCTTTAAGTCTGTACATCTGATTCAGGTCTGGATTCAAGAATGTCATCAAACGACTCACGCTTGCGCTTTTCCAAGCTTTGCAGTGAACGCGGTAACAGTTTGCGTGCTTGCTCCAAGTTTTGGCGGCGCAAATAATGTTCGCAGAATAAAGTCCACACTTTCGAACTATAGCCGAACTTCTTACAGGTCCGCTTATACTGATCCTCTGCTTTCTGCGTGCCTCATCATTAGTACAGTAGTGAAGCCGAAGTAATAAACTTGCCTCGTGCTTCTCGCTCTGATCTAGGATGGCCGCCAGACGGAGATGGACAGTCTTGGCGTCATTATGTCTAGCAGCGTCCTTGAAGACAGCCTCCAGTGACTCATCGGTGCCATAGACATTCTCGACATTCAGTAAAGCAATCCAGACATTAAGCCGCTCTTCCTCCTCCCTGAAACTGATGGTCTGAATTGCTCGTCGGCCAGTCTCCCGTGCCTTGTCGATTTCGGATAGTTGAAGGAGGAAAGACATGTACTGCACCCACAGGTAGGATGAATTTGGGGAGCCCAGGAGAAGCCGCTCAAAGTCGGCATTTGACTCTGGAAGTTTCGAGTGCATATCAGCAGTGAGATCCTGCTCGATCTCTTTCTTCTTGCGTCTTTTCTTTTTGCTTGACTCGTCCTTTTCGCTGTTCTCGTCGGAAGAAGCTCCGTCAGATTCCACACCAGACCTAGCGTCGCCGGAGAACCAAGCAAAACCTTCAACTTTCAGAGGCGCAACTTGTTTGGGAGTATGGGTTTTCGGCGTCGACTGCGACTGGGTGGGCACAGCCTTCACTTGTGGCAATGGACTGCTACGTTTACTAGCCAGTGCCTTTGAAGGGATGGGCTCACGAGCATGAGATGCCTGCAGTGACGGAATAGCTGGTGTTTCGTGGACCGGTACTACACCCTCTGCGACAGCATTTGATGTAATGTCGTTAGCATCGGTCACCTTGGCAGCTTTTGATGATGACGCCTGACGAATGCTTGCAACAACTCGTGGTGGATTCAGGTCAACGGTTAAAATTCGTACTTTGACGACTCTGCCCGCGACAAATATGTCCTTCAGTTTACTTGAATAGTCACTGAACAAAGCGTCAATCAAAAGCAGAGCCGACGACGAAATTGGACAAACCTTGCTTCTCGAGACGGTACAAATGCCTTGAGATCGTTGTAGAATCGGACAATCAAGCCCTTTTCTACAATTCGGTACACTACTGCATCTGTGATCATCCCGACCTTCGCCTCCTCGATAGAAGCTAGGACTGGCAGAGTAGATTCAATCAACGTCTTTTTAGCCGTCAACTCAACTCGCATGCGCTCGGGATCAACGGCCAGAACCTGTAGATTTCCTTAGCAGGCATCACATCTAATGATCACGATCGCGTACCCGGCATTTTATACTGCCTCCGGCCTTGAACCTTTTTGACGGATGCTTGAGCGTTATATCTGCGTAGTGATTTGGCCATATGATGCCATCCGCATTACAAGAGATCGACACGAATAGGGCGGAGTCAGTAAGGCGTTTAACAGTGCCTTTCAAGACCTCTCCGACTTGTATATCACCTGCCTGAAGGAACCTTTGATCTAAAATTGAAGTTCGGAGGGAGAGCTGCAGCAATCCGTCCAACGGATGATAGCCTATGACACGCGCTCTATGGATGGTATTCAATCTCCACGGTCCTGAGGAGGAAAAAAGTGTCGGAACATGACCATCAGACGTGTGAGATATCTATCAAAGAAATGGAATAAGTCATGGACAATAGAGTGATGTGATGTGAAAACTTACATGAACGAATCCATCAAGTTGGGGCTGCACTTCAACGACCAGTCCTCGTTCCGGCTCTACGCGTTTCACAATAACAGCATCCAAGATCGTGCCAATGGGATACACCAAGTGAATGGCAGCATCATCGATAGAAAGTTTCTCTTTCAGGTTGACAATGTGATCCAAGAGCGACACAGAAAACTGCGGTGGTGAGCTTCCGGCAATTTCGTATAGTACTCGGGCCTTCACTTTCTGCCCTATCTTGAATACTTTGGTAGGGTTAGCGGGCACGTTAAACTCGTCAGCCGTTGCGTTGAAAAAACCAAGTATCTGTAGATTGATACCACTTGGTAAAATTCCCGTGATCAATGCTTGACCTAGTGTTCCTGGCAATACGGAGGTGACGTTATTGACTTCTGTGATCTGTGAATTGGGACATGGTGAGGAACATCGCAAATTGTAATCAACAAGACTAACTGAAGATGACTGTATCACTCGAGGATCGACTGTAACTGTGCATATTTTCTCGTTACCGGACATCTTCACGACAGCGATATCGAGCAGTTGGCCAACATGAAGCTTTGAACAGTCAGAACCACCTTTTTGGGCGTCTTTAAAGGGTAGGAAACCAGAGCAGCCCTGTACGCCGATATCAAGAATGTACCCATGGTCTTCTACACTTTGCACAGCCGCTGAGAGAGTCTATGTAGGGCTTAATCACGATGAAATAATGCGATCTAAGATATTGCTCACAAATCCAGGTTTGAGATCTGTCTTAAGGACTCCGGAGTTTACTGTCTTGGGTACAAGACTCAACTCAATGCGACGACTAGCTTTCGCGGCTTCATCCCTTAATTTTCCGATGGCAGAAACGTCCGTAGACCCCGATGCGTGCACATTGGTTACAATTGCACGGACGTATTGTCCCGCGTGGAAGAGTTGAAACAAATCCGGTACCTCCGTCTGAGAATCGGATTCCCCATCGTCAAGAGATTCGGTATCTGAAGGCTCTTCTTGTTCATGCATTGATTCGAGACGACTGGTCAACTGAGATGTAACTTGTGTGATAGGAACGTGACCCATGAGCTGGTTCGGTAGGGATATAATGAGAGCCAGTGGTTGTATCGATGCAATTTGACCAAGCAGTTTCATACCCGGAACAATGCGCTGCAAATGCATGATTGAGCCCCTGCTCTCCAGCTTCATAATATAAAAACTACCTTGTAATTGAGATGCTCGATGCGAACTCCATCTTTCTTCGGCGTAACACTCGCCTTGCTTTTGGCATCAGATCTGTTCTTCTTTTTTTGAGACTTCCCAGACGCCTACAACAAATTCTACTCTGTCGAACTTATCTGGAGTAAGACAACAGAACTCACAGCAAATAGTTCCTCGTTTGCTTCTTGCGTCGCTTCAACTCGGATAGCTTTAACCTCTGCAGCTGTTAGGCTAGTCCCGCCTCCTCGTGGAAAATCAACCTCCTCGTTCGTGAGATTTGATATCAGCTCGACAGGTTTTTCCGGCACATCTGATGACCTGTCTTTCGCAATTTTACTCTTTTTGACATTGCGGGATGAATTATCCTCTAGAGCACGTTTCTGGCCTGCCATGCTCTTGATAAAGTGGGTAACAACACTACAGCACGTAGGGTCTGACCGTCCGACACGTAATAATATAGTGGAAGCCTGGGGATATCTTCCCTGCAGCTGCGAGTTTTGGTGTGGATTGTAGCTTGCCCGTACTACTAGAACCGCATTAGTACTTTTGAGACTCGGAGAAATTACAAGCAGCTGATTATGTCAGCACTAGCATCTCTTTCAACAGCTTCATCGTACTAACTCGCAAACTCATGGGTGAGTTGCTCTCTCCGTCCTTGATGACATTCCTCAATTATCACTCTTTCTAGATTTTCAAGTAAGTCATATCTTATTATACAATCTCAGAATTCAATTCAATTTTTATCTAGAACCGTGTTGGCTCTAAGTTCGGTGGAGGTGGTGTCGCTGGGGCTTCGGAGACCAATGTGGACAGGCGTGAGCGTTTACGCAAACTTGCGCTTGAGACGATCGATCTTGCAAAAGTATGCTCTTATTCTCCCTGCACTCCAATGATAACTTGACGTATCGTTTAGGATCCTTATATCCTAAGGAATCATTTGGGTGGCCTCGAATGTCGTCTCTGTCTGACGCTTCATACCAACGAAGGTTCATACCTGGCTCATACTCAGGGGAAGAAGCATCAAACCAATCTTGCTCGTCGTGCGGCTCGCGATGCTAAGGACACGCAGTTGATGATTGCTCCAACTCAAAGCAATGTACAACGCAAAGTGTTCCTTAAAATAGGACGCCCAGGCTACCGAGTGACAAAAGTGCGGGACAAAGATACTGGAAAAGAAGGTATGATGGTCCAGGTTCACCTTCCTCAGATCAAAGCGGACGTCGTCCCTCGCCGACGATTTATGAGCGCTTGGGAGCAAAAGAGGGAGCCTCCGAACAAGGCATACCAGTACCTAATCGTAGGTGCGATTACTCGCCAAGTCATACGTTGCTTATTGGATGCTAGGTGGCTGCTGAACCGTACGAGACAATTGCTTTCCGCATTCCGGCGCGGGAGATAGAAGACGAAGCTGACGACGCTGGATATTGGAACTGGTCATATTGGGATCCTGATACGAAACAGTATAGCTTCCAGTTCATGTTCCGTTTGACTTATTGATGCTGCTTGCTGCTCACAATGTTCCTTCGATGTCGTATTTGTACTCATTTCCGTCCCGAATCATAGAATCATTTTTGCCGAGCTTGGCGTGGTTTATATCAAATATCTCATGTCGATCCAATACATGTTGTCAATGACGCGGTGACCCTAGGGTTGCCATATGTGTAGCAGACTTCCCTTTGTTGTAGATGGCACTCTCGGTGAGCAAGGAATGAGACACCTGCATCTCGTAGTAGGTGGCAAGAGCTCCTGGACCTGAATGAGCCAGCTGGCCTGCTTTCTTCAGGTGTTCCACGGACACCAACTCATTGATGTAACCGTCATGTCTGATGCGGCATCCGCATCAGGTTTGCACCAGAAAAGATACTAGTACACACCAGTCATAACTTATTGAATTATAACGCGGGTTAGTAACAAGACTGCTAGTAGTACTGCAACTGTAGCTCAATACATATTATTCAACGAAAGACAAATAGAAGAGAGCTAATAACGGCGAGAGAAACGGCGCAATATATAGTCGGCGAAAGTGTTAGTGTATCTAATGTCACACGAATCCCCCAGAAACGAGCCACTCGTAGCATTCCGCTGCTAGCTCTTCGCTATGGTCTATCAATTACAATTAGTATCAAAATAGTATGGAAGATTAAATACAAGGACACACTGATGCAGAACGCATGCGGGATATCGCGGTGCCCGTGCACGACCTTCACAGTGTCAGGGTCTGCCCTAAAGACATGGAGAATAGTTTCTTTTCCTCGGTCAACCCAGTCGTCGTTCTCTGCGAAGTAAAACCAAATCTGGTGTCGATATGTGTCCAAGGTGGCAACATCCAATTCTCTGATGCTCAGCATTTCATCGTGTGCCATCGTCAACGCGGCAAAGATCGACGAAGGAGATAGTAGAAATGACTGTAGGACACGGGCTTGGGAGATCGGGTAGTGTGGAAATAACCGGCAAAGGATGGCGAGTGGCATAATATGCAATACCCGAGCAACCTGTGATACAACGCACGGAAACGGAGGCCGAAACAATCGCTGAGAGAAAGCAGGAATCGTGAATATGACTACTTCCGAAACTCAACTACCAACCGACAAGAGTCGACCATTCGGTGTACAAGCAATGTCTGTGATAGTCGGGAAAAGGAAGAAAACTCCTGCAACGGCAGCAGCTCGCAGTTTCAAGACCTTTCAAAGAGATTGGAGAGATAGCACATTGGGACACTTTGAAAACGGTACCTGCAGGGCTACCCATGAACCAACGCTATGCCCAGCAATCACAATACGTGTATTGGCGCCAAAGAAGATCCTCGTAGCATCAAAGATTCGAAGGGAATTTTGAATCTGAAATGGCAACGCATAATTAGATGGAGTGCAGCTTGCTGGCGCAGCAGGGTCGTGTCCGATATGCGAATGCGACAGTATCGCCAGTGTCCCAGACCCGTCCTGGTTCCGTATTGCGGTGAGAAATGGATGATAGAAGTCAATGATTCCAGGATTTCCTGTCGCCGTCCAAAATAAGCTCGGGTGGAAGTGCTATGTTGAACCTACTAGTACCTGGTATAAAAAGTAAAATTGTGGAGGGTGACACACCTACTCGTTTGCAAGGCCACCAGTGCACATGTGCAGATGGTATATTGTCACTGGCAGGAAAAAGAGCATTTGTATATTGAACGCTGGAATCTGGTGCCAGGGATTCTAGAAATGGGGGTAAATTAGTCCTGATGTCGCCGGTCATGCTGGCCCGGGGTTCACTGCAAGTGAGATGATTTGCTGTAAAGGTTCGTAACGTTCAAGTACATTCTGAACGAAAGGCTAGTGCATCACCTTGTTAGTGGCAGCCAGAATTAGCGGTAAAGCACTATACTAGCCCAGCTACTACCGCCGTGACAGGTCAGAGTCTGAAAATGGCATATGGTCTTGAGCCGTATTTGGTCAACAAGCGTTTCTGGCTGGTGGGTCGTACAACTCAGATGTCTCGAATACCGACCTTTCCTGTCGAACCGACAGGCGTTCCCCCACTGAACAACTCAAACCGCTCTTATTCGACTACCAGACCGTTGCAGATTGCCCGCCCGCCATCACGTCAGGCAGTTCCCAGTAACAATACGTTTGCTTCCTCCCCCAAGAGCCCAAGTTTTTCATCACCCAAGGGCCCTCTCCGCCCACAAAGGTCAGAGTTGAGACCGCGTAAGGTATCCGAACATTCAGAGCGAGCTTCCACTTCATCTCGAGCAACACAACTTGAAGATCACGCGGCAAGAGACCGTAGAGATAGTTCCAGCACCACGCGCTCAGATTCGTCAGCTGCGCCGCAATACCATAACGGAAATATAGGCACTGCTGATAATAGGCCGCGGGTGGACATTTCACGATCTAGCGCTCATGATGAGACTTCCCCGACAACCCCTGCACTAGCTTCTGTCATGGCTGCCTTTAGGGAAGCTGGAGCTCGTAAACGTGCGATAACCAATGGCAACGAAGATATAGCATATGAACAAGAAAAGCAGAGGGAGAAGGAGTTGGAGATGAGGAGGCAAGAGCGCATCCGCGAGCGAATGCCATATCGGAAAGCAACTGGGAAGGCTAAAGCAGGAGATATCGATGGTGAGGAATATAATCCTCGCAACCTGCCTAACTTTATGTCTTAGCTTTTAAATCTTATGCTAACATCACGTTGTAGCAGTGCTTGATCAGATCAAAGACGAATGGGAGTTTGTCATTGACCCTGATGTAAGGCGTGAATTTTACTGTCAACCAGTAGCTGAGCGATATGATTTTGCAATCGTTGCAGTTCAACAATGTCGACTTGGCCTTGTCACTGGTCGATGACTCTTCGACAGGCAAAGGCATCGAATCCTTTCGACAAACCAAGGTAATGCTCTCGCATGCATTAAAAGGATCAGTAGACAGTAAGCCCCGAGCTCTGCACTCGTAGCCTTACTTAATAGTGTTTTTGCTTAGAACACCACAAGGCGTTTGCGGATGCACTTCCGCATCACGCTGCTCTTCTCAATCACCTTGGACTTACCCAGACACAAATAAAGCAGTCGAAGACAGCTCTTATGGAAGCGAAGGAGGCTTTGGGAAATAAGCGTGCTGATCTCGTTCAACTCTGGTCAAGGGGACAGGTTTTAGAAGAGATGATGCGTTTGTTGGATCAGATGTCAGTTTGTTTTAATATGTCAATTTGTTCATCTACTAAATATTTATGTAAAGCGAGCATCTTAAATCGGTGCCCGATGCACTTGAGACTCTCATGTCGGAGAAAAGGCTGCTTCAAGCATCCGTTCTCCTTGTGCGGAGCCTCAAGTTGATCAACAAACCAGACATGCAAGAGATTGGAGCAGTTTCAGATCTGCGAAGTTATCTGATTGGTCAGGAAAATGTGCGTTTGTGGATTGCTTACTGGCATGCAATATCTTATGACTTAATAGGCTCTACGAGAAATATTGATCGACGAACTTCACAACCATCTTTATCTTAAATCCTTCTGGTGTGAGTCACGGTGGGCTGCCTTTAAGCCAAATCAGACAGCCTGTAAGCCATTCCGATTTGCGTAACTCTCGCCTTGACTTGCCTTCGAAGTTCCCAAGGTTGAATTTGAGAATGAATCGAGTGGACAACCGTCTTCGAATGGCACCGCGTATTTTTCCCCCTGAATCGTCTTCACTGAAACATGCATCTTCTCGATTATCTCGCTTCCTTAACTCTCTTGCACTCCGACAAAACGACTCTCCCCATGATCTCAGCGAATCGAACTTTCGCAGCAACACGTCTGTTCAGGATTTGTCTTCCTCATCTCTTCCATCCGCACCGTCTTTCTCATCGAATCTTAATCTTGTTGCGCTTGCAACTCAGGCACCTCAGCTTGATGCAAACCCGGAAAGCGACTCCTTCGCTTACATCGAAACTCTACTAGAGTCCCTCGCGGTCCTGGGAAAGCTTGGAAGTGCGCTCGATATTGTCGCACAGCGTTTGCAAGGCGAGATATACTCGTTGGTCGAGTGTACCTTGGACGAAGTTGAGGAAAGGACGGAAGAGTCTAAGAGAGTTTCTCTCTTCGGCGCAGCCAGCTTAGGAAGACGGTCAGAGGGTGGATATATTTTCGTTGCCAATGATCCCGTCGGCATCACTCTAGATGGTGTTGTTCCTTCGATGTCAGCAAAGGGTGTTCTCCTCCGCACCTTTTCCCTACGCCTTGCAGCACTGGAGTCTTCCACCAAGCAAGTCGATCAGGAAACATTGAAGGACTTCTTTTGGACTGTTTATTCCAAGCTTGATGCAGTAACCCAGGGATTAAGGGTAGTTTGTGAAGTTGCCAATCGTATAGGATCGGTATGCTACATTTTATCTTGCATAAAAGGTTAATGCTGACATGTATTCCGTCAGAGAAAAGACTTCAAGGACTCATCTGGTGCCAAACCAGGAGCTTTGTTTCCGCTCGCTGATGTATGGCTACCAGTACAAGCTGAGGTGTGTAGCGCAATGATTTTATAATCAACATACCAAGTGGATTACAGGTTCGGACGCTCTTGCATGACTATTTAACCGACGAGGAACAAGGATCGGTGGCGGGGCGAAATCCAATATCGTCCATCAATGAGGTCTTACGAGAAGGTCGGTTTACAAGAGACAAACAAAAGGTTAATATAGAATATCCCTAAATTTCTCACACTGATCATTTACTTACAGTCCGTATTCCGATTTGCGGATACTGACATGAAGTCCACGGGCAAAGTCCTTCGACGTCACGAGGACGAGCTCACTCGGGTCCTTCGAGATACCATGCCCGGTCTCGTGCAGAATTCTTCGGATAGTGCTGTCCAGGCGACACTGTCGACAGTCGGCACAGACGACCGTTTATTAGGTGTCGGGCAGCATCACCGTTTGCTGATCAAGCCAGATGCATTCCATGTTAGCGTACTTTTCCAGCCCACTCTTGCTTTCTTGAATCGTGTGGCCGACATTCTCCCCGATGGGGTGGAAAGTACTCGCTCTGCGAGTGGTGTACTAGATGACTTTGTCCTCAAAGTTTATCTACCACAGTTGGAAGAGCGCATCTCTGAACTTTTCCATCACGCAGTGACAAGTCAGTTGATTTCTCGTGTCACCTTGTTTTACTCACAGTGCCACTAGGTCCTGACGCTTTCCAATATGACCAGATGTCGACCCGATTTAGTCCAAAACCAATATTCAGGGTTTGTGTTCTCGCAGGTGTTATGCTATGATATCGATCATTGATGCACGGTTATTCAGGCAACTACACAGCTAATGGCACTGATAAACTCGTTATGCGCGATGCTCCGCACAACCCCGTTCCATCGAGAGAGTTATTCTCGCCTGATTGTTGGCGTGATCATTCAATTTTACCAGCGCTGTAGTGACAAGTTTCAAGACCTTGTTTCTTCAATAGCTAACACCCCTGAGACATCACATCTCGTGTTGGCAGCTCAGTGGGCACAAAAATCGGAATTAATCCCATGTTTAACAGAGCTCTTTGCAACACCCGTCTGTATCGCACATTCCAGATACTCGTGAAACTGATGGTTGTGTTGCAGCACGCGAACAATGTGATCAGGCGTCAGCTTAGTCGACAGGAAACACATCTGGAATTGAATTACCTCGGTCAAGCTCAGATAGCTAAGCATGACTTAGTTTCCTCGACTCGCAACTTGGCGGGTCTGTGTGGTCTTTACCGCAGTGTGGTCAGTTGCACAGGATGTCCGATTTCCTCACATTAATTCAAGTGATCTGTAGGCATGGTTCACAGAAGAGCTGAACATACTGAAGTCAACTCCAGACGGCACACTCTCGCCGACTACACCTGTGGCGCCGGGGTCCGCTGATGTCGTGATGTCGTTCACTCCCTCGGCAATCTCTACCTTTTTTTCGCAGGGCACTAATGACGAACAGCTTAGCCTTCCCCTGTCACGAGAAATGGCAATGTGGGTGTGCCGATAATGACGTTGACCATCGTGCTCATATAGATTTCTAGGCGGTTTAGTGCCTTGCTTAAGACATACTCCCAACTGGCCGAGATCATCCTGCACACCATTAGGATCGACATTCGATGCCGAACAATGCACTATTTGGATGCAGCCATGCGTCTTGTTGGTGATGAATTGCATGTACTTATTATCCTACTAATTGATTGTAGGGTAATTACAATATCGACCATGAAGCTGGCGAGCCTGACCCATACATCGTGGACCTTAACAGTGAAATTAGCAATTGTAATGAGTTTGTGTCAGCAGCGATGCTTAAGGAGGAACACCGGTGAATATCTGCCCCCCGCCTCACCTAAATAATTTCTCACCTCTCGCAGATTCGTTTTTGCTGGACTTGAACATCTAATGGAACATCTCCTTATTTCCAATGCTCGACATGTGCGCATGACAAATGCTTTTGGTATCAGGAAGATCATGCGAAACACTCTGGCGCTGCAGCAGAGCGTACGGACCATTGGCGACGACCAGCAGCATGCCGAGTTTGAGCGCGCGAAGAGTTATTATTCACTCTTTTTCCTGACACCCCAGGTACGCTTCCTTCTTTGCATGTTTATCACAAACTGTTTATGAGTCGAACCAGGGTTTACTCGATAGTATCCGTCAACACCAGAATTTCACCTTCGATGAGTATAAGACCATCCTCAATCTTCAGTGCGGGGTGGATCAGTCGATCGGCGAAGCTGGAGTAGCTAAAGCCACGGACCACAATTATAGCATGTATCTTATTGACCTACACGGCCTGGAACTGGAAAGTTCCGCAGACATCGGTTGAGGTTCATTCAAACATCTAGTTATGTTTGTATATTTATAACTAGTACCTTGCGGGGAATATCTCCTTCATGCTTGCAGAATGGCCATACGGGATAGATTGCGCTGGATATTCGTTGCACCAAGCCACTAAAAATTTTCCAACTACTTGTTAAAACCCAGTAATTGCTCGTGGACGATTGTGATTTCCTCCTGATGATGACAACCTCTAACTCGTGCTGTACTACTGCTCGCCGGATGCTTTTAGATTCCACGCTACATCGTCGTCCGTCGCGCAGGGTAGTGATCGCCCTTGACTACGTGCTTTGAGCGCATTCGGTGCCAATGACACAGAGAAGCCGCCAGGCTTTTTGGTTTTCATGTCTTTGCGTGCTGACATGAATGTAAGAATGGGGATCCTCCCCAGCAACTCCTGGTATCTCCTGCGCAACCATCGTCTTGGAAGAAAAGCACCAGATGTGTTCTTCGGCTTTGTTGTTAATCGAACCAGCTCCTCGAGGACAGTGGTATCGTAGAAGCCTATTTTCCGGACAACAGTCGCAGTACCCGAGTCGCTGCCTTCGTGGCCGTCTTCTCGAGAAGGCGAAACGGAGATCTGGAGAGGTGGAAGCACTTTCTTCCACTCTTGTCTGAAGTACTTCCAGCGAGCGTTTACTTCCCGGCGCTTACTGAAAGGACCTAGTATCTGGGCATCAGATGAATTAGGGTCTGCACGTTCGGGAAGTATTGGTGGGAAGCTGAGGTCGCCTGGTGCCAAAGGTCTTTTCCTGCGGGACAGACCCGAAGTGAGAAGTGCGGTAAGCTCTTGAGAGTATACGGGAGGGCGCGAGGATTCTTTGCCGGGGATGATTGGTGGAGGAAGTGTTGCGTTTGGGTCAGACAGTAAGGGCTACCGGAACGTCGTCAGGCGATCATGAGCAACGCAAACGGAGACTTGAACTCATCACCTCCATCAATTCCCACCTTAGCCTACCTACCCGACCGTAAGCGAGGTCCAGGATACGGTTAAAGGCATGGTGGTTGCCATTATTTGCTGCACGAAGTTGTTGTATGGTCTAGCCAGAAATAAGTTGAAATTCGGTGCTTGACCGAAGTAGCCTTACCTTTGAAACTCTCTTCAACTTACCCGTCCTGTGATCATCACATTTGGTCAGCAGCGCAGCGCGACAGTCATCCTCTGCCTTTAGACGGAAAAATCGACTACGAGCGATTAGCAATGCTTATACTGATCCGGAAATGAGCCTCACCGAAGGTAAGCATGGGGCAATCGTCTAATCTCATGAATATAGCTTTTGTATACCGACACAATTGGCTGTCGATGATTCATGACAATCAAACCTGCTTACCAGGCTCGAGACCAGCTTGGCTAACCGTAAGGCTTATGGAAAGTATATTAGGTCTAGTCTATCTAGAGTCTTGTCTGTGTCCAGTCTGGGGTGCCAGCCCGGAGCGGAGTTTAATTCCCAATCGGGACGTAGTATGACTCAGCTTTATCGTTGAACGATCCCTGTTTGGTAATTGATATAACTCTCCATCTCGCACTCTCTGAGTCGAGTTGGTCATCGAAACGTGAAAATTGGATCACAATTTATAGTTTTTGTTTTATATTCCCACATATATTACTATCATTGGGCCAGAGTTGCAAAATAGTAGAGAGTTGCAAAATGCCTCATAGCACACGCAACAACACATATTAAGCTATCTACTGTTAGACATAGGACCTTCTAACATATATTCACAGTACAGTATTTTTGTTTTATAAAAATAAAGATGAGGAATGCGTACAGCTTCAAATCTATCATTCAAAGTTGCCTTTTTTCATGTAGAATAGTCAGGTGAAAGCAAAAATCTCAACCAAAAAATGATTTTTTTTCTTCTACATACACTTTACAACTATGCTCACCTTATGAGAATTTTTTCAGTGAGAATGAAGCACAGTTGCTGTTGTTATCGACAATGCAAGCATTGACATCAGAGAATGATCAAGCATGACAACTTGGAATGGAGAACTAAATTTGAGTGCGGTAGTTTTTATTCTAAGAAAAAGCAAGGCACGAGCACGTGCCTAGAATGTAGTCTATGTAGGAACCGAGTAAGCTTGAAGCAACTGCCCTTATCTTCTCGCTACCACCAACCTGGCGCTAGCCTTCCCACATAGTTTATTCGCTAGTCGCCTCTACACAAGCTACCATTCTTCTCTAACAAAACTGTGTTCTGCATATGTCTTGACTTTCCACTGACCCGAACTTGGAACAGTGTCCAGATTTTACTTCGGGCACCTTTCAAGCCAGTCGCACACCGCTACTCGGGCCCACCATGGACGATGCTCAAGCAGCTATCATTTTGCATACCATCTGGACAGCCACCAACAACACCCTATGCCAACAATGGCAACAACAACTTAATGAGGATGTGCTACAAACTGCTGAACAGCATCGTCTCCTTGCAGCAGCTGAGGAACAGCACCTCGCAGCTCAAAAATTGCAAGATGCTGTCATTGCCGAAGAAGACCAGAAAAAGAACCGCATTCATCACATTCCTATCCCCAACCGTCCACATCCTACTCGAGCCACAGAACATGTGTTAGTATCTGATTTTGCACTTTGAAAACTTGACAAAGCGCAGTTCGTTGAACTGTATTACTGGACTAACAAAGCTCTTGTGGACACCAGGCTCGATTTTCGCACCATTGACAATGACAGCATGGTCCCCACTGCCGCTGCGGACGGTACCACCATTTGGACTGCTGCCAGCGCTGCTCATCCTGCAGCTGGTGTAATTGCAGACCGTCTTCTTGACCCTCTTGACTTCGCACATGCTGTTCCTTGCTTCATTACCTCTCTCGAACGATGCAGGGGGGAGAAATCACATATTTTCATGTTAGCGAACTTCTTTGGAGCTCTCATGACCCATCGCTACTGGTCATCTGAAAATATGTTAGAAAGGCATGCACTCTTAGCTTATGAGGAAAAACAACAGCAGGCATGGCACCAAGCTATTCCTCAACCAACAGGTGCTTGGAACATCTCCATTCTTGATGAAGTTGAAATATCACGCACATTTGACCGTCTTTACCATGTCGAACGAGCTCGTGCTGACAAAGAGTTTGACTCCAAGGTGCGTTGCAAACATTTTATTATGTAACTAGGATTCACAACTGACTATTTTGTTTCTCCCTACATTCATTGTGCATGCATACACTTGGTGTGTACATCGAACCTTTCGGTTCGCTATTTGCGTTGTGCGATATGCGATATGCGATTTACAACATGCGATACATGATATATGATATATGATGTATGTTATATAATGTGTACTATCCAATTGTTATCCCTGCATTACACACTTCAATTTGAATTTTCATCATCAGCAGTTACAGAGCCTTAGCCTTAGATCTGTGGGGGATGATATCCCACTCTGGGCAGTCACAGCGAGACAGACACTCACCGCTGCCTCCCTCCTTGGAATGGAGGTCTGCTAGTGTTGATTGCAAATGCTCAATGTCTCCTGCATCTAGTAACACAAAGAACGCTCATGGTGGAAAGACTTCCACCCCTTTGTCGTCGGGTTTTTCCAATGGCACACATGGTCAATGCCCTCCCACTGGGTGCGGGATCTATCTTTTCCACTGGAAAAACTGTAAACTTTTTAAAGGAAAAGGTCAAAATTTATCTGGCATTTAATCTGCCTAAAAATGATGAAACAAGATCATGATGTTCTTGTAAATTTCCAATGGAGCAAACTGTAAACAAATAAAAAATTTGTGGTTTCAATTTCTTCATGATATATCAGGTGACAATTTTAGAATAATGTTCACCTTTGTGACACAACAAAATACTATACAAATTAGAAGCAACATGGGGTATGATTTGTTTTGAAAAAGTGTATCAGAAAAATTGAATAGAGAAATCAAAGCTTTTTGTATCATGTGTTTCATGGAAAAAAGCAGACAAAATCAGGACCACAGAACCATTTAAATTTTTCCCAATATTGTCAGGAAAGAAAATGAAAACAAGATTGTGACCTTCTGTCACAATGAATATAATGTTTTATCAATGGCAATACTGGGGACAACTTGAGAGCCAAATTTCTACATTTGTCTCATATTTAGACATGAGAAAAACAAAAAAGTAATTGAACAAAACAAATCATGAATGTGGTTTCCGATATGTCCAGAGTTTGTTTGCAATACAAAATAAGAAAAAATTGAAGTAAATATTAGGAACAGAGGGTTTGTGAATGATGAATGGTCCACTGACTGGTCAAAATTGCAATGTCCAATATCAATGTTTAATGTTCAATGTTCAATGTCCAAGTCCAATGTCTCATATCCGAGTCCAATGCCCAATATTTAATGCCCAATGTCCAAATCCAATGTCTGAGGTCAATCTCCAATGTCCGAGTCCAATGTCCAATGTCCAATGTCCAAATCCAATGTCCTAAGTCAATGTCTAATGTCCGAGGTCAATGTCCAATGTCCGAGGCCAATGCCCAATGTCCAATATCCAAATCCAATGTCCAAGTCCAATGTCCAATGTCCCCGTTCAACGTTCCAACTCATATTTCAATGTCCAAGTCAATGTCCGAGCTCAATGTCCAGTGTCCCCGTTCAACGTTCCGACTCATATTTCAATGTCCAAGTCAATGTCCAAGCCCAATGTCCAATATCAGAGTCTAATGCCCAATGTCCAAATCCAATGTCCAAGTCCAATGTCCAATGTCTGAGGCCAATGTCCAATGTTTGAGTCCAATGCCCAAAGTTCAAATCCAATGTCCAAGGTCAATATCCAATGCCCAATGTCCAAATCCAATGTCTGAGGTCAATGTCCAATATCAGAGTCCAATGCCCAATGTTCAAATCCAATGTCCAAATTCAATGTCCAAATTCAATGTCCAAGTCCAATGTCCAATGTCCACTGTTAAAATCCAATGTTTGAGTCCAATATCCAATGTCCAAATCCAATGTGCGAGTTCAATGTCCAATGTCCAAGTCCAATGTCCAAGGTCAATGACCAATGTCTGAGTCCAATGCCCAATGTCCAAGCCAATGTCCAAATCAAATGTCTGAGGTCAATGTCCAATGTCCAATGTCCAATGTTGTCATGAGTACCTTTAACAAACCATTATTCTTTCTTGAATCTTCCTAAGCGTCAATACACAGCGCCTAAGTCAAACCCTAACCCTACCCCGAAAGCATCTACCAGTTCAGAAATACCTTTAGTGCCCACGACACATGTCTTCGATGTGACTGATGAAGAAGACGAGTTCTTTGATTGTGAATAGATTAGATTAGATATGATAAGATAAGATATGGTCACGTGATGCTTCTTTAATATTCCACGATGTTCTATGGTACAATTCCCTTTCCCTTTTTATGATTGGCTAGTAGTTGTATCTCAGTTTCAATCTCAGTTTCAATAGTTGTATATAGGTAGCATGTCTTGGTCGATAGTTCTTTAGTTCAAACCTCTTGTATCTACAACTGTAGCAATCCAAGACATACTTGCTCTTTTCCTCTTGTCCGATAACCTTAGTCGAGTCCTAGTCTCTGCCCAAGCGTTAGTTTGTTATTTGGGTTGTGACAAATGTCCCCGTTCAATGTTCCAATTCATATTTCAATGTCCAAGTCAAATGTCCAATGCCCAATGTCCAATATCCGAGTCCAATGCCCAATGTCTGAATCCAATATCAAATGTCCAAGTTCAATGTCCAATGTCCAAATCCAATGTCTGAGGTCAATGTCCAATGTCCGACTCCAATGTCCCAGTTCAATGTTCTAACTCATATTTCAATGTCCAAGTCCAATGTCCAAACCCATGGACATTGGACATTGGATATGGAACTCAGACATTGAACATTGGACTCAGACATTGGACATTGAACCTGGACATTGAATCTTGAATTTAGACATTATATATTACCTTGGACATTGGAGTTGGACATTAGGCATTCAATTGGGACATTGGACATTCAACCCAGACATTGGACTTGGACATTGGAAGACATTGGGCATTGGACTCGGATATTGGACATTGGACTTGGACATTGGAAATTGACCTTGGACATTGGATTTGGACATTAGGCATTGGACTCGGACATTGGACTTGGACATTGGATTTGGACATTGGGCATTAGCATCTCAGGCAGCACCTTTCAGTGCCTATAAGGGGTCTATCAGACCCAGTTTCTATGTTATGGGAAACTAGTCTAAGAGACCCACCCTCCCGCTATCTAATTATAGCTCATGGCCTCGTATTCCCTTGTGGACCTCCAGTACCTCCCTTCGAGCCTCCAGCACCCTCCTTCGAGCCTCCTTTAGCTGTTCTCGACCCTCCAGTGCCCCTCCCATACCTCCTCCATTGCCTCCACAGAACCTTCCCATCCCTCTTGCGCCTCTAGAATACCCAGAAACCCTCTAACGACACCACTTGTGGACCTCTAGAAACATGACCCATACCTCCGACACCTCCGTCGCGTGCTTTCCCCAAACTTAGTTTTGGAATCTTGTTGATACCTTCTTTGGGGTGGTAAGTCCTTCTCTTCTCACCTCCTATGATGTATTCCTCGACACTCCATTCCACTCGCAAAGCTCAACTCTCATCTTCAGGGCTAGGCCACCACTTTGTAAGCCCAAGGAAAGCTCGAGACAAATGAAAAACACAAACATTGGTCAGGATACTGGGCATGGAGCCAAAGCATCATTGACTCCTAGCTGAAATGCAGCAACTCATGAATCCGCATTGCAGAGAATCAGAGTCGCAGTTATTATCTGATCCTGCTCATACTGCAGTTCAAAATGATGAGGCTGTGGACCAATGTGAAACTGCTTACAAGGCCGCTGATGGTAAGAAGCAGAAAGCTGCGAGAGATAACTTCAATTACACAGGGATCATGGCATTAATTTGTCGTCATGACATCCCATTGTTTTTTGCCAACATAGATTCTCCTGGAGAACAACAGAAGTATTCGGTAGCTCTTCTCCAGCACTTATTTTCATTGCTCCTGCATGAGGCAACAGTTGTTGCTTTGTATGACATTGGTTGTGTTCTAGCACACTCACTTGCAAAGGTATGCTATCAGTCATGTTTGGATTGCTTGCTCACATCTCTCAAGTATGATATCCTTCCCAAGAGCATCACCACATGACTCTGTTTTGCAACAACCGCAATGCATGCTTATGGGCATGAGTGGGCGTTGTAAAGAGTAGATCTGGGCTGGGCTCTACTGAATGTGAGTCCCTAGTCCTGAGAGATGCGAGTATGCTTCATCCCAAGAGACAACCTAAGAACTACCTTGATAATGCAAGGGAGGTCTTATACAGTTAGAGAGTAGACAAGATATTGGAAGAAAACCTTTTTAATGTTCGTCCGTAGTTCCGAGACTACTTCCGAAGTACCGAGAAACTCGTCCAATGTGACCGAAGGTTGTCCAAGGCTGCAAAAGTGTTGTCCAAAGTAGCACGATGCCTTCCGAGGCTTGCGAAGACTGTCTGAAGGTCTATATATGTCGGTGTGTCGATGTGTCAGTATGTCGGTGTGTCAAATAACAGTATAAGACTTTGCGAAACGTCCGAAGTCTGGAACAACACTAATCTATCGGAACTCAAGAATAAACGAAGTGCAAAATTGGCAGCGGTCTAGCCAAACAATTGTTCCGAATGAACAAGGATCAATTGCGCAGTTTACGATTATACCGAGGTGACTCTACTAATTACTATTCAAAGTACAGGAAGTGAAGTGTCCTATCAGTAGCCAGCGAGCGAGATTATATCCTACTTCCATGAGAGGCCGGAATCCATAGGCGAAACTAGTAGCGAGATAAGCAAGTCCAAACCTATGTAATAAGCTGTGAGGCGTGCAGGAATGCAAGTATACATGTAATAAGCTGTGATGTGTACTGCTTATATGTATTCCGAGGCTCCCGACAGGATGCCGATGGAATTGTTATCCATGTAGCACTAAGACGTAGTCAACATATAGTTAGAATAAAGGAAAACGCACCAGTGAAGTCAAAAGGACGAGGATAGGACATGGTATGGTAACTTGCAAGGTTCGGACAGGTCTCGGAACATGAGAACTGCCTGCAGAAGGTTCGGACAAGTGCACGTGGCCTTCGGAAGGTCAAGGGAGGTCGGGGAATGGTATGAACGTAGGTGTTGGATTGCCTGGTTCCAAGCCCAGCACCGCGATCATTGTTACAGCGTGTCAACTTGTCTATAACCCACGTATGTGTGTTGGGCTTGGCCTATCCGATGGGGAAGGCACAGAGCGTCTTTGGTCGTGCTTTGTGTGCCTGATTGGCATTGAGAGGACTTCTTCTGTATGTCTCCCATCAATTTCATTATAACCTATTTAAGCGAAACCTTCTTTAGTGTCAACATTGCCTCTGGCTTATTGACTGACAAGCCACAGCCATAGGGTCTGAAATGCGAGCCAATCTGGGGGATTGGATTAAATGTTGTCTTCTTAGATAGATGATCTATAGATGAACACCTACAAAATCAAATATCTCCACGGTCAGCGATTCAGACAAATACCAATGACTGATAACGTGGTCATTCGTGGGTGGCCTGTCAGTATATCCAAGCTACGGTCAGACAAAGGTACTCTATGATATCAGTATAGAAACACTAGTCAACCCAGCGGTATGGTGTTGACAAAAAGAAGCAAGAAACAGAAAAAAACTAAGACTAAGCACAATCACTGGTGCTAAACAGAAATGGTAACTAAAACTAGGCACAATCAATGGTGCTATATTCTAAACTTACTGTGAAACAATCGTGCGAAGATGTATTGGTCACTCCCACAGCGCAAACAGGTAGGATCAAAGGTCAAGACTTGTCAAAAGCTTCTGTAGAACTCTTAGCCTAATATTGAATCTGCTGCCAAGGAACTCACAATGAGTATTAAACAGAATCAGAAACGGACGTCCTTGGATTTCAATACCAAGTCCCCTATTCAATAGCTGAAGCCTATCTGACAAATAACAATCCTGGCTCAGTATACTACTCAGATGTGTGAGGTCAAGCGGACAATAATCAGCTCCTGAAGTCTCCCCACTAAGCTACTCTGAGCCTTTAGCGGACGTAGAGACAACACGAAGAATCCAAAGATAAGGCTCGAATGTATTCGCTACAATCAAAAGTACGTTAGTATCAGCAGCAAGAAACAAACACTCAGAATATATTCGCTAAAATCTATAACACGTTAGTGACACAACAATAAACAAGCACTCAGACTGTTAGCTTTCAATGGGTAGAGAGAGTGAAACAGATAGAGTGAAACAGAACCCAGACTAGTGAAACAGAGATAAGGAAATAGATCCCAAACTAAAAGAAATAGATCCCAGATAAAATGAAATAGATCCCAATCCTAGAGAAACAGATAGAGAGATAGAGACAGAGACATGCGCACACAAACACAAACACTCAGAAAAACAAGAGATTTCTCAAAACAAATAACCAGGCCTTGCAGGTTGTTAAGCACAGTGAGCTCAATGGCTCCTACTGTCTCATCAATGTACCTGATAATGTTGAACAACTCTTCGTGGTTGTTGCTGATGCTGATCACACACAAACCTCACTCGCAATTTTATTAAGGGTGACTCTGGAAGTCAGATTGATTGCATTCCAGGCCAAAACGGAGGTCCTTATATAGACAAATCTATGTGGCTGTGCTAATTTACTCCCGCATACCTAGGTATATTCAATTTTTGTTTTCTCACATATCTAGATATACTACATTATTTGTCATAGATCATAATACCCGTGTGAATCGTACATAGGTGAACATGATTTGTCAGGCTTAGTCATAGATCAGCTAACTGTGGTAAGAGAACATGGTTTACATAATATGTTGAAACTTGTTTGTATTTGGTGTTATTTAGAGACGTAGCATATGTCATAAAGCAAAACCGGGTAACACGTGTATTTAAAGTTTCCTGGAAGTTCCCGCAAACAAACATACGTGGAAAGTATTTTTCATGGAAGCTTCAGATGCGTGAGAATCTAGCTGAGTCATCTTCGAGCCAAATAACACAAAATTCATTCCATGCAAAATTCCCGAAAAATATTCACTAACACCGCATGGTCATGCACCGGACCAGTTTGGTGCAGGTCAACGTTGCCTCAGATGTGGTATCAAAGAGCAAGGGTCGGCAGCACAAGGTATGCTAGGCCGATGTGAAATCCCTGTCGACGAATTACAGTCTCAGTGGTCCCATCAACGGCATTCACAGTTATCTATACGTGTTCATGAGTAATTTATTATAGCTCATGAGTATTGATAAATGATCTTCCAAGATGCTCCGGCTCACCTCAAGAGAGAGCTGGACACGGTATTAGCCCTGCAGGCAGATCTAGATGTGTCGGATAGAGCTCTGCAGACTACCAGAGCAATGTTAGAGAAAGAATCGGCCTCTGATGACACATTAGAAGCTCTACAGAATCTGGAGAAGGGACACGATCGACTAATGGACAAAGTCGAGGCTCTTTACTCGTCTCTAAATGTCCACGACAGGTTCCCTGAACTTCAAGGGGTGAATCTCGATTTTGTTCGTACTCTTCTGATGGCATGAGACCTCAAGATGAACATATGTAAATGTGCCATTGCAAGCTTCTTCGAATGGGACAAGCTTGACCGCGCTGTTGGAGGCACCCAACAAGCTTTAGGTAAGTCTGAACCTTTTTGTTAACTCTGACAGTATCTTTTATAATTACACACAGGCACTAAACTCCATCAACATACACATAAAGCTATAGCGAAGCGCCAACCTGCCCTCATGACCGCCATCCAAAAATTCAACACCTACTGTGAACAGTTAGAGTTCCTATATGACCCGAGTTGGGGGATTCCGCTGCCTGCCCCTCTTCCAACAAAACTTACGGAACTACGCAGTGACCCCAGGTTGATGGAAGATGTATGGATTACACCATCAGTAGGAGAAGTTCCCCAATGGTTGGAGGACTCAAATGTCAGGGATGGTATACGTGCACTTTTAAAGTGGGATCAATGTGAAGAAGAGCAGATACGCCTCAGTATAGAGGCTGATAATCTCTGTCTTTTCTTCAGTGATGAGCTGTCAGCGCTTGAACTCGCTCTTCGGTTGCCAGACAGGGAGTTAATTTGATTCTTCTCACAACCTTCTGCTAATGTGTAATCTAATGTTAGGTGAACTGTTTACTGTTCCATTACAGCAACGGCATGCTAATTTTTTCTGATTTCAATCTCGATGGTCCAATTCCTTAGCTTCTCCGGCCTCCTTCGCCAGCCAAGCCAACAAAGCACTGGATATTGCTACTACCCTCTCGGGAGCCTCCCGCAGCACAACACTTCTTTCTATCAATGCTGAATCACTTACAGCGCCAGATCCTGAAGGTGGGGATGAATTCCCTGTTGCTGATCCTGACCATCCCATGGCTATTAATTCTGAACAAGCAGCACTTGCAGACGTTCTAGAGGGTCAAATGGGCGTGCTGGAGTTGGGTGATGAAGATGATGATAATGACTCAACAGATTATGCGCGTGGAGCTAATGTCATTATTCATTGGGATCTTCCTGAGGTACGTCAATGTTTAATGTCAGGAATGTAACATTGACTAGTACCATAGAATCTTCTTATGGATGACTTTAATGTTCCATTGCACGTTCCAATGCGTGAGCCTGGCATTCTCATACCTGGCAAAATTGTCACCCGAGTACACCTAGCTCACACAATGGTATCCCTCATCAGATATTTGACCCTAAGGATATCGGCTTCCTTAGTTCTCCCACAGCACGCCTGAATGATGTGTGCATCAACAGCTGCACTATACTTCTCTGGCATTCTCAACTCACGACATCAGGTGCACAATGTGCAATTCTCTCAACCCACAATCTTCCTCGAATTCATTACAATGTGCCGGACGATGTCATCTGGCGCAATTCATCATGGGTTTGTTATTGGGAAAAGGACATCTGGGTGCTTCCCATTCATCATCCGTCGGGCATTGGGCACTGGGTGCTATGTGTCATCTGGCTGTCCAACAAAGAACTTCATCTTTTTGATAGCCTTGGTAATAGGCAGCCTTGGCAAAATGATGTTAAAGTGGGTTCAATTTTCGTACTTTGCATTTGACTGATCAGATCTGGATCTCAAAGGATATAATGAGACTAATCGCTCGGTTCCTTGTTATCACGCGCCAACATGACCACCATTGAATGTGAGTTTCACACTCTACTCTCACAACTTTTCCAACCACTTCGTATTATTTTAGGTCTAATGCCTTCAGAATAATGATTTTGACTGTGGTATATGGGTTTTAGCGACAATTTTTGCCATCATACGCGGGAAACATATTACAGGAGTACACGAGCAGGACATGGACAATCTGCAACATTTTCTCCGGACTATGGTTCTTGCGTTACCCGTTTACAGATATGATTTGAAGTAGAGTAGTACAATGACAGTATGGATTCTGCCCAGTAACTAGCAAATCAACCTCCTCCTGATAACCTAAGATCCTCCATGCTACCCCCTGGCAGTAGCACTCAGCCATAAGCTTGTGTCTTGTACATACCTGCGGGTGGTTAGCGACATGAGCATTCAAGTCATCCCAGCCTTCAAGCAACCTCTTCTGTGCATCTCAGAGCTCCTTCAAAACTTCAGATATTTCTCCTGCACCATACGTAGCTGCATGATGGGCTCGAGATTCCCTTTCCATGTGCAAATTATGACCATGCATCATGTCAAAGAGAATCTGTGTGAAACACTGTTCTTCTGGTGAGTCGGATGGAGGCAGAGAATTGTAAGGTGGGGCTTTGTCCCACTGAGAGAGATCCGAAACATCAATTAAGTCAGAACCATTGAGTGATCGGTAAAAGAGATCGGAATTGGGAAGAGGAAGATTGGCAAACTGCAAGATAGAATAAGGTAGAGGGTTGTGTAGGTCCTTCGAGGTTGTATGAGGTCCACATTGACCATGACATTTAGTGTAGGCACGAGCATTCTGAGCTTGTCGAATGAGTTTGCCTCTGAAAAACATATCAATAGCAGTTGCAAATAACACTGAATGATAATCACTGTTTTGACTGCAAATATAATGGCGTATGTCGATGAGCAGCTGCCATTTTTTCTTCTAATGTGAAGTACTTGGCTCGGTGGCCCATGGTTAGGTTTATTGGATAAATAGTCAAAGCCAACCAAAGTTGACATGAACATCTGCGCACTGTACTGCAGCTACTACTGCCTAGTTACTGTTGAAATGTAATATGGCCATCCACAATGAAGTTCTTGTTAAAATATTTGCATGAGCATGATGGGGCGTACTGCTAGCGTCAACAAGGCCAGTCCAGACAATGAGATCAGCAGTCAATGGCTGTACATATGTCTTTTCAACTAAGTACTATTTGTATTTTCAATCTTATTGGTTCATTTGAACATTAACCCTCTTGAGAGCCACCTTGCAACCCTCTTGACATCAATGCAGAGGTATATATCAGAGAAGAGGTCACAAACCCTTGCTGGAGGATTGAAATCATGGAACACCTCCAGAATCACGAACCCATCCACTATTAGCCTATCAGACATATTAAGGTCAAACTTTTTCATAAAAAAAGGTAGACACGATCATTCTAACACTAAGGTATGGTTTGCGAATCCCCACCAGATGATGGTCACGGGTAGAGTATAGGATCAGTCCTATTGTACATCACACCGAGCGCAACTTCTCTGAGCCCCACTTTACTTAACTTAAACAGGATGCAAAAAGCTCATCCACCTCCACCTCATCTCTGTCTTCCTCACAGGCAGCCCCATCAGGATATTGTGAGCCTTGTTCAATGCAGGATATCTGTGGAATGAACTTATTGATGATGGGCTCTACCTACCAGTAGCTGGCCTTGTTTTAGATTGGATTTTGACCTCCAGGAGGGTGAGGGAAGCGGGACTTCGACAAATACCCTGCATCTCTGCCAACGACACATTGCATGAGCCACCACAGGAGCTCATGTGCCAGACAGTGGCCCAGGAGCAGGACACTTTGCAGAAGACGATGTGAGTTTTCATCCATAAGACAGTGGCCCAGGAGCAGGACACTTTGCAGGAGACAATATAAGTTTTCATCCACAAGACAGTGGCCCAGGAGCAGGACATCGTGCAGGAGATGATGCAGGAGATGTTTCAGGAGAGCTGTGGTTTGATTCAAAGCAAGGAAGACCCCGCCAATCAGACCGACCATCAGCATACCAACGCCACCCATGGGTATGGTCAGAATGAGGTGCAGGCGCTTCCCCAATGATAACAGGGCTGTGGGAGGCCATGAGATTTGTGAGGGTGCTTTGCTTGGTGATGGTTTTGATGGTAAGTAGGTTGTTCTTGAGAGCATCCGCCAAGATCTGGTGCTCACAAAGCAAGAGCTGGTGTATCCCTTTCCTCTTTATGAGAGTCAGGTGTTTCTCACTGGGCATCAGGACATTTTCAGGATAGTGCTGGAGGACATAACCGCGACGGGCTAGCTCTCTTGGTAGGAGCTTCCATGGAAACATCTCTCCTGGTCCTTCAAGCTTCCCTGCTTCACTCTTAGCAAAAGTTCTAAGAGACGCTAACATCAAACTCACCAAGCAACACTGATAGCCCACCAACAATACATGGTATGCCATCAAGGCTTCTCCATTCGTCAGGGTCGCTCACTTCCCTGCTTCTCCAGCCACCTTTTCAACACCATCTCCACTGGCAAGTTGTTTCGTCCTGCGATGCATTCAAGAAGAGAGTCTAGTTTAGCAAAATCCATTGCAAGGTATAGATGAGTGGTAGAGGAGGATTGCGGCCATTGCAGATAAGACTAATCAGTGTAGCCTTCGATCACAGGAAGGCCATGGAGTGAGGCTCAACATTGATAACACCTGTGTGCAATTTTGATGAGTTTCGTTAAAATTTGGTAGGCGCATGTGACCAAAAAGAAAAATCAGAAGAACATGGTCACCAGGGAGGCTCGTAGAAACTTTTGAGAAACTATCGACCGGTCTAGGGCCTCAAGGCCTCATACTGCATCTACTACATCATGGTTATTCAAATTTCACCAGCAAAAGCAGTCACAGTTGGCCCGAGAAACTCAAAGCACCTCACAAATATCTCCGACCTTCCAGCTGTGATCCCAGAGTGTAAGCGCACATTCTTGCAATGGTCCAATGCCATGACCAAGTTCAAATGACCAAGTTTTTGAGATCTGTTGGCGTCAAAACATTGTTTGACAAATTTTGGTCATGTACCACTGAAATTTCACAAATTGCAACACAGCTGTTCACAGCACGTTTAACAAAGTACATGCTCATTAGGAAGTTGGGATAACGACTGTTTGTCAGTAAGTTTCATTATCACCACACTTTCACTTGCATCTTACTGTTGTTTCAGCGTCTGTTGGCAGCACGCTGGATCGGCATCACATATCTGTCTTCCAAAATCAGTGCGTTTCAAACTCAGTACTAGATTTATTTTCAATCTGATTGTGTGTACCCATTAGTCATTTGTACAGAAGCCTATCTGGAGCCTTGCGAGAGGCACGCCAATGATCGTGGGTGTATCTCTCCAACCCTTCACACTCCTTGTCAATACTCACATTGCAAGTGCCTTAGTAACTTTCATATTTGGATTCTGCGGATCGATTTTAATTTTTGATCTCCCTGTAGCCTCTGTAGCCTCCATGAACCCTCTCCCTGCTTAACTGTCACCCTCCATATCCTCTTCAGCCACTATTCTAGACCCTCACAATAAATGATTAATTATTGGTATATTCTGTTTAGTTTCTCTTCTGCTGCTCATGACACTAACTGCTTTTAGCCTGAATGAAAGTATGGGTGTCACGCCGCACAGAGACCGTGTGTCCTCATAAGTATGAGGCCTTTTGTATGTTTTTTTTGGCCTACCTTCAGTATTCCCACTTATTTTCTTGTAGTATTTCATGCAATCTTCTCAATGGATAATCCACCAAAACTCGCCCCCCCTGCTATCACATACCCCTGACCTTGTAAGCCGCAGCCTTTCACTACCCTCCTTAGTACAATGCCTGACGCGCTCGAGATCAGCCAATTTCTTTCTCGCTTGCATTATATGTTGCATCATTCTGTACCATTGGTGAGTTGAGACTTCCCTGCAATTTTCTATCCTCAGCTTATGCATATCCACTCATTGCAGGTTTTTAAATATACTGTTTCCTCTCCCCCCATCAACTGTGGCATATCGTATAGGTAAGCATACCTGCATTATAACTTTATTTGATCATTGACTATATACAGCAGATATGACACAGAGCTTCCCTGATAATCTGCCTGTCTCACCCAACCTGCGTGGATTCATCTCCCGCTATGTATGACTATATGGAGGAACAGTTCGGTGGAGGTCAGGCAATATGATTCGCCTCTTGTTGAGCTGACACTCTCACGACTTAGGACTAAGCTCAAGGCAACCGCAAGGGATATTGGTCTTGTCAAAGGAGCGTCTCTCCAACGTCAGGCAGACCAACAACCCTCTGCGGTAGCTCAGGCTGCACACTCTGGAGCATCAGGCTTTCCCCATGTGTCGCAGGACAGTACTGCAACAAGCAAAACATCATCGCTAACCCTCAATGTGGCCAATAGTTGTCACACCTCACCATTTCCTGTAGCACCAGGTCCTGTACAACTTGACAATCTTTTTTATGGTTCTATGAACCAGCAACCTGCGTGGATAGACCAAAACTCCTCTGACGCCTTTGCTGTCATGGGGGCTGAATCTTTCACAGGCGGCATACTCAATGACCATTCTTTGGGTCAATCTTTAGGTATGACAGGAGTTCATGATAAGTCGGTGTGGGCTACACAGTCTACAATTAATGCGCCAGCCTGCACAGCTCCTGATGTACCCGGGGGATCACAACAACATCTCACCACGCAAGACATGTCCCATCTAGCACCTCCACCTTCTTTTCATTTCCCTCCTAGTTCATTGGGTCAACCAATGGCCTCTCACAGAAGCTCTGAAGGTCAATCTCCTTCAGGGTTTCCCCAAAACTTTCAAGGGACATATCACCTTTATCCTTCGACCTGTTCCAGCATCAGCACCTCACGACCATGGGCCTCCCCCCCCCAGCCATGAATATCATTCCACCTACACCAATCACCAATCAAGGATGGTGGTAGCCACAACAATACTGCGGCCTTAACGAACACCAGTTGCGCTCCCCTTGTATCTACGAGAATGTCCAATCCCCAGATGGACTCAGGATACTACCATTCAGTCACCTCTCTCATGGGCTCCCCTCAATGTTTTCCTGAAGAAGATGAGCCAGTGGTGCATGAGGACGGGCACATTACTGGACAAAGGAGTGCAGAGATGAATTCAGCACTCACAGCCAGGTTTGCAAAAGTCGAGCAATGCTTCCTTGACCTCTCCACATCAACAACATTCCCTATGATCCAACTGATCAACCTGTTCATGAAGAGCTGTGGATGCACCGTCAATGGTACCAATTACTGGAGTTTGTATGCTCACTACTTCAAAGAACACGTCCAGATGGAACTCACATGCATTGGCCAAGTGGCACAGGCAGGCAGTGGGACACCTAGTGAGTACCATATTATGTTATGACGAGCTGGATGTTTATGTCCCTCACAGGTCAAGGCATACGTACACAATATTACGATAAGTTCAAGGAGGCCTTTCCCAATTCATACCAAGATATACTGTTGATGCACGAGGAGGCATATATCATTGGTTCTGCTCCTTAAACCATATCTCAGCACAGACAGGCATTCCAAAAGCACTATCGAAGAATAACACAGATTGTATGTTATCTCGACTGAAGTGTTGACATCACCTGATATTTTTTAATTTAGCTTGACTCTGCTTGTGCTAAATTCAGCTTTGAAGCGGCCATTGTACTCTGTGGCAAAGTGATTAACAAGGACGGGTCACTTGGCCATTCCCATATCACAGCGAGTGCTGAGGGGGTAAGGTTATTGGTATTCTGCATTCTGACATGTACTTATAGCAAAGTACAGTTCTGGGAGACTCGATGCCACACCAGTGATGATGCAATCATCAGCCATCTTAAATCACATGTATAGTAAGTCTAACAATGAACTACAGACATGCTAAGACTTATGGGGCTCTAAACAGTAACAGTATGTCATTGTCTGTGATTAATGAGGTGTTCAAGGACAGCAATGATGGCAGCTGTGATAACCTATCGACCCCCAGCAACGATCAGTTTGGTGACATCAAAGAGGGACAGGACAATGTTTTGAAGTGGGTCAAGCAGGAAATCATTAGACAAGTTGGTGCATGATCATTGTTGCTAATCTTTTATTCATTTAACATAATGTACTCTGTGTTACACTAGCCCAACTTGGTGGACTTGGCAGTAAGACCACCTGGGATAAAAACTTCCCATGGAAGGTCATGGGAGGAGCACTCACAGACGCCAGCCTCTCTATCAGGGGCTATCCTGGTCACAAGTGTCTGTTGCCTGGAGAAGCTCACAGCGAGAATTTGAAAAACAAAGGTATTGGGGCATTGACACAGAAAGAAGTTTCAGCTCTCATAGAGGTGTTGAAGGCAGGAACAATGCACATTGCCAGAGTTGACAAGGCACATCGATGTAAGCGCCAACTACACTATGTTAATAACTTAAATTTAATATTACATGTAGCGGCTGTGATAGCCTCTGAGAGGCCAGTCATCATATGTGAAGCACCTTCATCTGACTGGCCGCATCCTGATGGAAGACGACTGTTTGCTGATGGCCACACGGATTACAATGGCCCTACTCGCGTGAAGCCTAGCACTGCAACCACCAAAGTCAAGAAGGTGGATAAAGTGCCAAAGGCCCCACTACCACCCTCCAATGAGGATGATTTGGATGATGATGATCTTCTTGTGACTAATCCTCCAGAGTTCCAAAAACCTACCATGCAAGTCAAAGTTGCCCCACCACCTCCCTCACGGCCTTTCAAAGTTGTCCAACTGCCACCCTCCCACCTCTTCAAAGTCATTCCAAAACCTGTTGTTCCCAAACCAGTCGCTCCAAAACAAGAATGAATGGCAGCTCAGAACGAGGCCATTGAGCTTACTTCTGCTGAAGACAACATTGCCGATGAGCCTGACACTGAATATGAAGAAGAATCACGCAGGAAGAACAGAAAGCTGAAGTCCGCGACAACATCGTGTGCATCAAAGAGGCTAGCTCCTTCCAATGAGAAGACTGACACTTTGAAAGTGGGAAATAAAGGAGCGCAGATGATGCAATCAAAAGTGCCTCCCTTGCAGACAATGAAAGGCACCCCTCAGTCTCCATTGACAGTGGGGTCATTGAGTGATGGCCTGGCAGCATTGCCAGAACATAGTGGCAGTGAGTATCCTCTGGTTCTATCTGGCTGTTTCACTCATGCTTTATAGATGGTGCACCAATGCGGCTTCAGGATGGACCCTCTAACGAGCCCACCAAGGGTAAGTTTTTTTCTTAAATAACATTTATGTAGGATATCTCAACATCCTACTGTAGTCAAACACATCAAACCGTAACCAGTCAAGGGCTCTAAGTACAAGATGGGCCGTGCTCTTCATATGGTGTATAGCCAGTTGGACAGATCTGAGGTTGACGCCACAGCTGCAAAGGATGCTGTCTGTGGTGCTTTAACTGACATACCAGTGCCCAAGGTTCCCCAGGATGCAGTGCCTGGACCAGTAGGAGACCAGCAGGAGGTACCCTCAACCACCTCCATGGACGCCATGCCACCCATCAATCCCAGCCAAGAAGATCTTCAAAATGCTGTTCATGACCTTGGTGAACCCCTTGGTGAACCTCCTCACGATGCCACTCAAGACCTGCGCAACCCTCCACATGAGCCATGTGAAGCTCATCATGAGGTCCTCCCTGTCCGGCGTGACCCTCATGAAGGTGCCCAGCATGAGCAGTCTATACAACCTGGAGCCTCGTGACAACCCGTGCAAGGGTGATCCTCCATGCAGCCCACACAAACCTCATTGTGAGGTCATCCAGCACCCTTGCAATGACCCTCATGAGAGTGACCCTCCATGCAACCCACGCAAGGCTCATCATGAAGCCCTTTCTGCCCGACGTGATGTTCGTGATACGTCATATGGTCTTTGCTAGGTTGCCCTGCATGATCCTTGTGACCCTCCTCGAAGCAATTCTCTGCACCCACATGATCTGTGTTACACTCATGGGTACATGCACTCCCACGATACTGGGTGCTATCGTGAGGCTCTTCATCAGCGTGAAGCCATTCCCTTCATCAACCATGACTCTCTCTACCCCCTGTGATGCCTTCCACCCTCATAACCCCCACTATCCTGCTGGTTTGCCACCTCAGGACAATTATGGATCCAATGAGGTTCATGCAGATAATGAATTCAACACTCATTATAGCTCTTCTGCATTGGAGTTGCACTCTCAGTATGGGCATGGTGAACACAACTGTGCATATCCAAGGTGTTACAGCCCTGCATTTGAGCCTGGTTATGCTCGTGAAAGTGGGTACTCCCAATGCGACAACTGTGATGAGCATCCTCCTTATGGCCATCATCATGACGGTGAATACCCCAATAGCAGGACTCGTTACCGGACAGACCGCAGCCATGATGCTCCCCCTTCCGACTATGTTCCACGAGGATTCAGTTGTGAGTCAACGAACCCCCTGCGGCCTTCTTAATAGGCTCTCGATGGTGATACTTGTCTTGTTATCATCCAGTTTTGCTGTCATTTTGTCACATCTGCTCATGCTTGCTTGGTCTGTTTTATTATGATATTTTGCTGTCGTGTTTTGCTATGATTCCCTCACTTGTCCTGTCTGTCTTGCTTGTTGCTGTGATACTTTGCCATCATTTTCTGCTCAGCTTGACCCTTGTCCTATCTGTCTCGCAGCTTCATTGTATACCCCACTTATGTTGCTATTTACTCTGTTTGGTATCATGTTTCATCAATACCAGTATAACAGCTTCAATTCCAGCTCTTGTTGTCCTTAGAACATGATTGAAATCTCTAAGAATCTCACAAATGACGAAACTGAATGGGTATGTCATTTAGCAAGATACATTCTTAAGTATTAAGGCACGAAAAACATAAAAGAAGTCTGAGGGAAGAACATAACATAAGTGCGAGAGGATAACATAACATACACATGAAGGGGAGAACATAACATAAGTGCAAGGATCAAATTACACAGTGATGCGGAGGGTCTCAGAGACAGTGACAGAGGCTCCTGAATTATGATGATGGTGCAAGAGACACTTGATGATGTGCTGGGGCTCTCAATGAGGTCACTAAGGCCAGCAAGGGCTACCCTCTCAATGGTAACAGATGAGTCCATGAGGTGGCATGCAAGGGTACTATTGTACCTCTTAAAGAGGTGAGGGGGAGGCCCTGGGGAGAGGGGGGGTCTCAGAGATGGATTTCGTCCTACAATGAAACTGGGTCTAACAGACTGTGAGAACAGGGCAAAAGTGCTGCCAAGGGTGGGCATTAGACTCTGATATTGGACATTGGGCTCGGACATTGACTTGGACATTGAAATATGAGTCGGAACGTTGAACGGGGACATTGGACATTGGACTTGGACATTGGATTTGGATATTGGACATTGGGCATTGGCCTCGGACATTGGACATTGACCTCGGACATTAGACATTGACTTAGGACATTGGATTTGGACATTGGACATTGGACATTGGACTCGGACATTGGACATTGACCTCAGACATTGGATTTGGACATTGGGCATTAAATATTGGGCATTGGACTCGGATATGAGACATTGGACTTGGACATTGAACATTGAACATTAAACATTGATATTGGACATTGCAATTTTGACCAGTCAGTGGACCATTCATCATTCACAAACCCTCTGTTCCTAATATTTACTTCAATTTTTTCTTATTTTGTATTGCAAACAAACTCTGGACATATCGGAAACCACATTCATGATTTGTTTTGTTCAATTACTTTTTTGTTTTTCTCATGTCTAAATATGAGACAAATGTAGAAATTTGGCTCTCAAGTTGTCCCCAGTATTGCCATTGATAAAACATTATATTCATTGTGACAGAAGGTCACAATCTTGTTTTCATTTTCTTTCCTGACAATATTGGGAAAAATTTAAATGGTTCTGTGGTCCTGATTTTGTCTGCTTTTTTCCATGAAACACATGATACAAAAAGCTTTGATTTCTCTATTCAATTTTTCTGATACACTTTTTCAAAACAAATCATACCCCATGTTGCTTCTAATTTGTATAGTATTTTGTTGTGTCACAAAGGTGAACATTATTCTAAAATTGTCACCTGATATATCATGAAGAAATTGAAACCACAAATTTTTTATTTGTTTACAGTTTGCTCCATTGGAAATTTACAAGAACATCATGATCTTGTTTCATCATTTTTAGGCAGATTAAATGCCAGATAAATTTTGACCTTTTCCTTTAAAAAGTTTACAGTTTTTCCAGTGGAAAAGATAGATCCTGCACCCAGTGTGCAATCCTCCTCACTATTCATTCCATGCTCGATGTCTCCAACTCACTAGATGTAGCAGCATATGCATGTCTCATAACATCATTTTTCTCCCTTGCACGGCTTGGCAAAGTCACTGTGCATTCATTGATGGCCTTTGACCCCTCGCTACACATCAAAGTCTCTGACATCTCTTATTCTGAAGATTGTCATGGGTCAAAAGTCACAGTGTTGCATATACCTTGGACTAAAATGTCAACAGGCGGGGAAGACATATACTTTGTGATGCAATCTGTGGATTTAGACCCTCAACGAGCATTAGATATTCATTTAGCAGTCAATGTGCCGCCTCCTTCAGCCCACATTTTTAGTTGGTCACATTGTGGGACTCTTCAACCCCTCACTTGGTCCGAGTTCCTTCATTAGCTCGAGCGTGCTTCAGTTCGGATTGGTATTGTGGCTCTAAAAGGCCATGGGTTGCGCATTGGTGCGATGCTGGAATACCTTTTGCGTTGGGTACCTTTGGACACTGTCAAAGTGATGGGTTGCTGGAGTGGTGATTCATTCACTCTGTATTTGCGACAGCATGTGGTGATACTCGCACCTTATCTCCAAGATATGCCTTTGCTCGAAACATTCACATGTTACGCAATGCCCTGTGTTTGTTAAATTGTCAGTTGTGAGTTTTAGCTCTTGTCTTGTGTTTGGGGGCAAGCATGCGCTAGCTGCATCATCGAGCTCCTAACTCTAGGGAATCTCAGCTCATCCTTGCCCTCTTTTAGGGCCAAAAGGCATGCTTCTGTCTGACAGACCTCAAAAGGTCTCTTGCCCAAAGAATTTAGGATAGCTTTAGTTGCAGTTGTGTTCTAGGTTGGATGTGAAAGCGAATGCAGATTTATTGGTCTTGAATAAAATATTTATAACAACCCTTTCTCCGACTAGATCAAACTTTAAGGTTCGAGAACATAGAGTACACCTTGCGAAACTTTCAGGCGCCTCAATTTTCCAAACTCGCTTGCAATGCACTGTTTGCTGTGTCGGAGTTCAGTTTTGCAAAACTGACACTGTGACACGGTGTGACACCTGCCCATGAGAAATTTTGCAACTCTCTACTGTTTCTAACATTTGTGTCGGCATCCCTCTGGCAGCATCATTTGAACACATTTTGTTCTTTTGTAAACTGGAGCTCAGCTGTGACACACATAGCTATATTTTCGTATAATTATTTTGTCTTAATGTGTAGCAAAAAATGAGATATGAAAATGTGGTGGTCAGATTTTGCAACTCTGGCCCAATGATAGTACTACCTTTAATGCACTGTAATAAATTATTAAACGATCATTAAAACACTACACCAGCAGTTATTTATTTAAGCATTTAAAACAGTAAGATATGATATTACGAACACCTGCCCTGACTATACTATACTCGAACAACTTTTAATTTTAAACGATGTATAGTCTGAATTCCCACGGGAAACAAATCGCTAGCTGACAAATCGCACGCGTCTTGTAAACGCTTTCTGACGGAGCATGTCTACACTCAGATTCAAAGTGGAAACGGCGCCCTTTTGAGAGACATTTTCAGCATGTCTTCTCCAGGCTCTGATCCCATTTTACTCTTTACTCCACCAAAATCTAGCTCTCCTGGCGGACCACCTACTAGTGATAGCGTCGCGTCCACCAATGTTCCAATGACTCCCAATACGCGCCCCAACTTGAAAGCGTCCTTTTTCATAGAACCTCCTGTCCTGTCTGAATCTCAGAAGAAACAATACAAACCTGTTCCTGAAGAATTCAAAGAAGGGGTCACCTTCGACAGGGATGATATTGACACTATAGTAGGCGAATACTACCAAGACACCAACTTATTCTACTTTGTGCGTTTCAAGGATGGGCTAGCATATAGAGTGCGCCTCGCTTTGCCTGAAACTTCTCTGCAGATTTAACGCGTAACTTGTATATTATAGCTTCCTGCTAGTGACTTCCAGGCCGAATATGCCGACCTGGTTGAGGAATACAGTCAGTTTCTACTTTAGTGGCATGTGTAACGCGTGTCTCATGACTTGGATGCAGATCAAAAGAAAGATGCTGGAGAGCTCGGAGAATTTGACCCATCCTCTAGCGAGGTGCACGAGGATTCTCGCGTCAGGACTATCATCACCATAGACATGGCCAATGGTATTGCCCGGAGTACGAAGGCGTGGGGGTACACGTCGTCCTTGGCCTCACTGTCTGATCTGACGGAACCTTCTGAGTCTGATCAGCAAACTGACGACGACCGGAGCGAAGACGACTACCGCCAGGAACGGAGCATGCCCATCCGCAAAGCCAATTCTAGGCCTATCCGAGCTGCGGCTGCTAAGGGCAAAAGCATGTCACGTGCTGCAACTCAAACAAAGCTTCCTTTCAGTCCCCAAAAGTTACGCAGCAGGCATGTCCGCCGGTATATGACCGAATCGGAGGATGAATTAGCAGGATACGAGCATGACGATATTTTAGATGTCATTCCCACTCGCAGGTCCGCTCGTGAGCGCAAGAACGCAAAAACTAATCTCGCAGAGGATGACCTTGAGGAGACTAGTGTCACTGAAAGCGATGACGAATCGTACATGGTAACTCCCAAGAGGGCTGGAAAGTCCAAATCAGCCGCGAAAACGCAAAAGCGACTCAAGCGTGGGCCTGTTTCCCGACCTGCTTATGGCATCTTTCGTCCTGTTGCAGATCTTGAGTTTGATGCCTATGAGGAGGATACCGAATTGCTGCGCGCTCATCGGGACATTTGTGAGAAATGTCACAAGGCTCCTGCTCACGTGCAGTTGGAAAAGCCGAAGAAAAGCAGGAAAAAGCTTCGCAAGGAAGACGACTATGGGTTGGAGGAGAGCGAGGATGATCTCATCCAGTCCTTGGGTGGTTGGGTTCGATGGTATGATCAAACTGATTCGACTCTCACTTTAATACTTATGTTCAAAATACAGTCTAAAGTGTCCGGTTGCAGTTCATTGGCGTTGTCTCGCAAAGACCCAGAAAGATGAGATCACCCGTACAGCGCGTGCGCGTGATAAAGAGGAATGGAAGAATCAACAGCCAGTCGGTTACGATGATCACAACCCTTCAGACTCCGAGCTTCCAAATCGTAAGGAGCTCGGCGTTATGCAGACCACGGAGTTCATATGTGCCAACTGCATGAAGGGCGGAATTTGTATGGGCTGCAGGGAGA